CTGCCTGTTGAAAAACATGTTTTGCGATGCAGCCTATTACTGTGTTCCTGACTTTGATGCTTCCACATTCTTTATGGCATCAGTCACAGCGAGAGAATGTATGGGAAGATTCAAAACTTTCAACCGTCAGTTATTGACAACTTATTGTTGCGACACTGGAAACAAATTCTCTGATGTACTGGTAGGCGTCTGGAGGTTGGACGCATCCTGTTGTATAATTGTCTTTATTTTTGTTGTGTAGGAACTTGTGACCGGCCTGACAAAGCACTGCATGTCAAGAGTGACTCCGTTTGACGATGCTTCACTTCATCGGCAGTGTGCTGTCACGCTTGGTGCGATCAGCGCTCGTTTGCTGGAGAGTGCAGTCAGTGCTGCCAGTGGCATGGACATACTGACGGAGCTGCACGCACACCTGGACAAACTGCTCTTACCAGGTAACAATATTTCCAGGATACCAACACTTATACCACTGATTTGCATTCAAGTCCACCTCCACACGAAACCAAAAATTTCGAACTCAGAGACAAGAAATGTGCATATACAATGTAGGTGGGACTTTTTCTATGGGTCAGCTCCTGCGGGCATATGTTATTATTATGTACATGTATGTGCATAGGCCTCACATTCTGCGTGAAAGTATGGTGGAGACTTGAAGTTAGCGTTATACCAAGGGTAGAAAGGAGCCTTGGCAGTAGCAAATAGTGGTGCCGGTCCGCAGCTGACCGAATGTGCTTGGACTGCATGGGGAAAGTGCTTCGTTTGCATATCCACCTGTGACAGATCATGTGCATCCTCTTCTGTACTGTGCTTATGTGTAGGCTCTGGAAAAGTTGATAGTGATGACATCACGGCAGCTGTCCATGCCCTAGCCAATGCTGGCTCCGAGAAGAGCTTTGTACACATGACTAAGGCCATTGACTCCCTGCATGAGCATCCAGAACTGCAACGGACAGCAATCCACACTCTAGCTACATTGCCTCATACTAAGGTATGTTCCTGCAGAATGTGCAAATTGGTTGGGAGTAAAGTTGAACTCAGATGGTGAGCCAATTAAATTATTCTTTGACCTTTCCGAACCTGAGCCTTCCAAGTTGGAAGGTTGTTGGTTCGCGCCTTGGAGAAGCGTTGGAGCTAGGTGTCAGGTCGCCGAATGTCTCAGTACTCCTTGTCAGTTTTGTGCCATTTTGTCGCGCTCACTGACTGTATAAGATCTGGTTACGTTGATGGACAGTTAGTCATAACTCGTAACATTTTGATTTGGAGTAGTGTTTCAATGCTATCCTCTTCAATGCAAGGCCACATCCATTGGCACTTTTGATCCCTTGCCCAATTACCAGGCAGGTATAATATTTGATTTCTGCATAGATACATCGGAATTCATTCCTCTGTGGCAAAGGGCTCAGAAGCGAATGCATAAGGAATCAAAGGTGGTGTAATGTCATTTTATCTGGAATATTTGAAACCTCTTCTTCCAGGTGGGTGACACACTGTCGCAGATTGCATCGTCAGAGCGCTATCATCGGCATGTCCGCTCTGTGGCAGAGAGCTATTTGCAGAGGTGGGTAGCCCGGGAGTCGTTCAGTACTCAATTGCTGCTGCATTTTGAGATACTGCTGCCTCGAACCTTTTAAATTACTTCATGTTCAGCAGTATCTCCACTGGCACATCCACTACTAGTAATAGATGATATGCCAAATAACATGCAACTAGACTTGGGAGGGCATTGCAGAGTAGTTGCATACAAAGTTCAAAGTTGTATGGGTGCCTGTGACTTGTCTTCCTGCAGTGGTCCATGCCTACCGGGCATTGTAGTATAATGTGTATGCAACTTGTGTGCAATGCCCTCTCAAGTCTAGTTGCACGTTATTTGGCATATCATCTATTGAATCATTGCAATGCCATGTGGTATCTTTGTATTGCAGAGCATGGCGGGGTACCAAAGCCAGTGCTTGCGTTTTTAGTTTCTCGTTGTCACACTGGCATGAATATACATGTATGTGTGTGTGTGTGTATTCTTCGATACAGAGATGGGAAGCGAAGTAAGCGACAGGTGATGGCAGGCTCATCCTCACCGGCTGTGAGAACATATCGGTCTGCCAGTCCATCCGTCAACTGGCACAATGAAGTGGGTAGCAAGGATATTGGTGCATCATTCGGCTCCTCCACCACCAGTAACATCAGCCAGGAAGTGGGTACGTATCTCTGTATTGACAAAAGACAATCGGATTAGGTGCTCATTGATTGAAGACTCTTTGCTGTGAGCCCTTCTATGACCTTTAGGTATTTGATGGTTGAGTCATGATCAAATCTGACCTCTTCAAGTCAAGCAGCAATCTCACATGTCATTGATATTCTCACACAGACGGACATTTCCCATTGTATCAAGTTACTTACCCAGGTTAAGCCCGTGTATTGCCATTCTTGGTTTGTATCCTGCTCCAGACTATTACGGAAGCAAGGTCAACATTGATATTCAGGGTAGGAGCTGGGTTCAAGGTCAGCTTGGCTACATTGGAAAGCGCAGTGATCTGCTGGAGGTCAGAGCTAGTGCCACCGGATCGCTCACCTACGACAGAGATATCATGAAGGTATGTAGCCCGCATGCGTAGCACACTGCAGCTTACCAGCTGTTTCTGCCTAATGAAGTGAGGGGTAACAGATGATCTGAATATTTGTGTGTTGGATGCCCTCCACGCGCACCATGGTGCTTCAGATCCACACAGGCATCTCATAGTGTAAAGCTTGAGCACTCCAGCAAGGTTCGTTTCTCTGTGATGCGCTGATGAATCTCCACAAAGGACGAAACGTTTCTATCCGTAGCTTGAAGACTACGACACATAATATTCTGAACGCAATCAGTAAGTGATAGGACGGTAAGCGGTTTGGGTTTTTTTATCCGTAGAAGATCAAAGGCAGTTTCCGAATTGAAGTTGTTTTGCTGCTGGCAGGGCAAATTAAGTCAGGCAAGGGGTGCTGTTGTGAAGATTTCAAGGTCGTTGTAGTCGAATATAACCGGTTTACTACTTTGGCTGCAGTTGGTATTGGCTGCTTATTAGTTATTCTATTTGGTTTCCCTCTTCCATTATCAGGACTACCAGTATGGGCGAGTTCAGCAGAAGGCCACCATGTTTGATGCGGTCTACTCTGTTCTGGCTGTGAACATTTCCTCATCTCTACAATCAATGGTGTCGTCGGTAACAGCCGCCGGAAAAGCATCATCACTGGCTAGTGTGTTCAGTGCCTCGGCTAATGTCCTCAGCTCCATGTCCAAGACCAGAGCGGATCTACAGAAGGATTTCTTGGTGCTCGCTAGCAACATCACCCGCTATGCCGGCAACGCCTCTATGCCCATATCGGGTGTAGTGCAACATGTACAAGTGCTGCACAACACGTGGGAGGCAGTCTCACTCGCGTTTAATACGCTATATGAGGTACTAAAGGCTAACTGCAGCATGGTGGGGGGGGGGGGGCACAAGCTCTAAGGAATATAGGCTAATGTCTTCGCCGATCTAGGTATTAGTAGATAAAGATTTGGGAGATGAGCTAATTACTATAGTATGAGGAAGAGAGAACAATTGGGTGCAGGTTTACCTGGAAGGGACATGCAAATCAGTACTAACTTGTCTTCATGTCCGTCAAATGACTGAATGAATATACCAGTATATGGGGTGCTCCAACATGACTGTATTGTATTTATGATGCCGGGGTACAATATTATACTGATGTTTCACTGCATCACGAATGGTTGACTGGCTGATATCACAGCTGGTTAGCTTGGTCGGGGAACCAGCAGTTTGGGCCCGCATCCTAATGATTACTTGATGGCGATCGGAAATGGACGACGTGAAGTGCTCAACGAGTACAAGCAGACAGTATTTAGGAATGCATGAGTCATTTCATCTTAGGTGGCCGCATTCCAGCTTGTCATTTTGCACACACAAGTGTTATATTTTTAGTTTTTTTTTTGCAATGTCACGGATGCTCTTTTTGTACAATCCGATCAGGGAACTATCACACAGCAATCTGTTGACTTGCCATTCATAGCAGCTGAATGGGCTAGTAGTGTGGATGGTATGCTCAGCAGTCTGGCACATCTCTATCAAAGCCCAGAGCAGAGTGTTGACTCACTGAGTTACTTCAACACCAGGTAAGGCACACTATCAACTCCTATGCCTGCCTAGCAGATTACCATTTGCTGTCACTGGGGCGTTCAGATGTGTATGTGTGTGTGTGTGTGGGGGGGGGGGGGGGGGTGATGTGTGGGTGCATATGGACGTGTTATTGTTCACATTCATTCTTGATCACTAGCTGGTTGCACCCTTCTGTCAACGCTACATGGTGGAATCATGATTCGTTTTGTGTACATGTACATTGTGTTTGCTTTGGAACCAGCAACCTGGTAGAAATATGTGTAGTAGCCTTGCTGAGCAGGGTCCACTGTGTGTGTGTGTGTGTGTTGTTGACATGCAGGCTGAGGGCACATATCAAGGACACTGAGCTACTTGTGAGGGTCTTCCAGAGAATGTGTCGGCAAACAGCAGCAGGTAAAGGATATTGTGCCTTCTACACACACTACAGAACTTTGCTCATCATGATCTCAGTACACTACAGCCTTGACCAGGGATGGCGTCCATTACGATGATCTTCCTTCAGGTGTAGGGCAGGGCCTATTGTTCCCGTCATGTTGCCATCTGGTATTCCAGCACCAGGTTGCAGAAAATACAAAGCCTTCGTTGATGTGGGTTGTCCGGTCTCTCACACAATCGACCATGCTGGCACTAATGCACACAAACTCTACTAAACACTCGCCTGAATCCGAACACACAAGTTCCAAAGTGTCCCCGGATAGTTCCGGTGTCCCAAGGCTTGCTAAGTCTTCTGTGGTTATAGTTGTAATCATTCCCAAGTACTTGTATTCTGTTCCTTACCTGGTTGTGCTGTTCTGTGGTTAACAGCAAACTGCAGTCTATTCCTGTCCGCTGAAGCATCTCAGTGTACCAACCTGACCTACTGGATGGAGGCAATGAATACTAGCCTGTACCAGGCAACGGATGACAAATGGGTAAGTATAGACATTGTGTGTGTGTGTGTGTGTGTGTGTGTGTGTGTGTGTGTGTGTGTGTGTGTGTGTGTGTGTGTGTGTGTGTGTGTGTGTGTGTGTGTGTGTGTGTGTGTGTGTGTGTGTGTGTGTGTGTGTGTGTGTGTGTGTGTGTGTGTGTGTGTGTGTGTGTGTGTGTGTGTGTGTGTGTGTGTGTGTGTGTGTGTGTGTGTGTGTGTGTGTGTGTGTGTGTGTGTGTGTGTGTGTGTGTGTGTGTGTGTGTGTGTGTGTGTGTGTGTGTGTGTGTGTGTGTGTGTGTGTGTGTGTGTGTGTGTGTGTGTGTGTGTGTGTGTGTGTGTGTGTGTGTGTGTGTGTGTGTGTGTGTGTGTGTGTGTGTGTGTGTGTGTGTGTGTGTGTGTGTGTGTGTGTGTGTGTGTGTGTGTGTGTGTGTGTGTGTGTGTGTGTGTGTGTGTGTGTGTGTGTGTGTGTGTGTGTGTGTGTGTGTGTGTGTGTGTGTGTGTGTGTGTGTGTGTGTGTGTGTGTGTGTGTGTGTGTGTGTGTGTGTGTGTGTGTGTGTGTGTGTGTGTGTGTGTGTGTGTGTGTGTGTGTGTGTGTGTGTGTGTGTGTGTGTGTGTGTGTGTGTGTGTGTGTGTGTGTGTGTGTGTGTGTGTGTGTGTGACTCCTGTACGGAGCAGAGACGTGGACGCCGAAGGCACCGGACCTGCGCTCTCTCAACACCTTTCATCACCAGTGTGTTCGCATCGTCGTTGGCGTATCCAGGCGGGACCAGTGGGACAACCGCGTCACCTCGGTTACCATGGCCCGAACCCTCGGCATTGACTGTGACGTCGCGGACATCATCCGGGAATATCGACTGCGTTGGCTTGGCCATGTTGGCCGGATGAACGACGACCGCATGCCGAAGCGAGTTTTGTTTGGGGAGCTCCCTGCAACACGCCCTCGCCATGGTCCACGCAAGCGGTGGCGTGACGTCATCGTGGATGATCTCCGCTCCATCAGCCCCCCTGTGCCTTCTGACTGCTGGTTTGATGCTGCCCAGGATCGCTCTGTCTGGAGGCAGATCGCTCATCGTCGTCCTCCCGCCCGTGCTCCTCCTGATCCTGACTCTGGCTTCCGCTGCGCATGTGGAAAGGTCTGCCGTTGTCCCGGGGACCTCAAGCGCCACGCTCCGTACTGCAAAGCTAGCGGATAGTCCCTTCGCTATCATTGCCATCGGCAATGGGCACGTTCAAGGTTCAAGGTGTGTGTGTGTGTGTGTGTGTGTGTGTGTGCATTTGTGCTTTTGTGTGAAGACTTGTTTCTAGTTCTGCTCTTGCAGTCATCCAGTTCAGAAGCAGGCGCGTAGCCCACATGGGGCACGGGGGGGGGGGGGGGGGGGGGGGGAGGCACGTGCAACCCCCTAAAAATTTCGACCTAGGTTCAGCATACTGTAAATATACAAATTTTCGGCAGCTATTTAATTTCGGCTATATTCGGCACCGACCCAAAACGCCTAAATTAAAACGCCGATGTAATTTTTCACAGCATCTGTCGCACTATACCATGCCCTCCACCCCACGCCGAAAATAAATCGCCGCCGAAATGTCAAAAATCATGAAGTGCCGAAAGTTTGTATATTTACAGTACACGTAATGACCATGAATGACATGCACCTGCCATCCTACACATACTTGTATGCAGCCTTGCACCCCCCTATAAAAGGGGGACCAGCTACGCCCCTGAGAAGGATGCGTGTTTGGCAAAGTGGCTAGAGCATTGGCCTTGCAAACATGAGGTTGTGGGTTTGATTCCGAGTTTGAAGATTATTTCCACACCCAGGATACCCATCCAGGAGTGTGGCTACCTGACTTTGGTTGGGGAAGCGAAGGCAATGAGGGAGACTAGATGAGCACCACCCTCACTATGGCGAGCTCATTGAAGCAGGGGTCTCTAACAGATCCTGCCCGTATAGTCAGAACTGACAGTAGGCTGCCTAGTCATTCAGTCTCATCCACAATCTCATGAACCTTTCATGCCTCTGTGACCTTGTTAGAAAGTCTGTAATACCGGTAGGATCTATGACTGTTATCTGCACTCTGTTTACTGTGTGCTTCTATTACAGAAACTGGCTCTGAACGTTACGCTGATGGAGCTGCAGGGCAAGCTTGTGCCATGGCTGAACCGAGCTATCACCGAAGTATCCAGCGTACAGTCCTGGCTTACGGTACTCCTCACAGCCGTTGCCACCATGCAGGCGGAGAGTTTGAAAGTCAACCAGGCGTGAGTTCCACACCACCGCACCAGTTCCACACCAGTGGACATCTGCTTGTATCTCTGGATGTGCACGCTTTTCTGGTGCAATAATGTAGATACGTTTTCTAGAAGTGTAACCTGTCCGGGGAGATGGCAGACAGCAGTTGTGACAGTTCAACATCACAGTCCGGTAGGGGTGTGCAGTATTTACATGTAGTCAATCTGGGAACGCTTATGGACTTGTCAGTGCAGCACACACAGTCCATCTGGAGCTCATGATATAAAATTCGATACTTGTGCTGGTTAGCACAGTCAGTATCCATTCCATTTTCGGCCAGGTGCTGCATATTTTGGCTGGGTTTGCTATTTGTATATATGCCACCACTTTGGTGATCCAAACCCATTCAGTTCTAGCCTGATTGGAATCAAATTTAGACCCAAATTCGGCCTTAATCCAGTTTTACGAGTAAGTCTGGAGTTGAAATTTTATACTGTGGGTTTGTTCTGCAGAATTGAACAAGCTGAGAGCGAAGTGGTGCGTGTCTCAGGACTGACCTTCCACCACGCCTTCCCCAACCGTTTGAAGCGCTGTGATGCAGTATGCCAATGCTCACAGTATCCGTTCACAGCTGCGGGTACTCTGGCGTCCGGGTTGCCCCTGGCAGCCACTGCAGGCACAGCGGTAAGCAGACTTCTTCTGTTGATGGGCACATGGTTATGAATCACAACATCGGACAAATCACACGACTGCAGCTTGGATGCACTGTTGATACACTAGTGGTGATAAACTTGTGCCTTATGTAATACAGGGACTCTGCAAATCACATACCGAGTTAGTAGCCAAAGCCCAACACCCCCGCCCCGTAGGCTACAGGACACACTACAATCAACATTTACTCATTTAGATGTAAGGCACGCTTGTGCATTTACCGGGAATGACAATAGGGTACAAGATGGAAGACTTACTGTAAGGTCTAGTATGTAATACAGAACCAAGGAAATCCTACAGTGACCAGTTCAGGAGACAGAAAGTTCCTGCAAGTTCCTTCATGTACATGGGGGCAAACAATGGATGTAGCTTTGGCTGTTCTCAGAAATCTCTCAGATCTCATCCGTGAAGCCGGAAGACAGTGGTGTATGTGTGGAGAGTGAGATGACTATGCTGTTCCAATAGCTGACTGCTGCTACTGACCATGTTCTTGAACTGGATTCTTTAATCAAAGTGGCTCTGTCTGTCAATGTGGCTCTGTATGTTTGTATGTTCGACTGTATCTATGTAGGTGGTGGCACCATTGACAGGTATTGTGAGGCCAGGTGCGACAAACAGCAGTCTTGTACTTCAACCAACGGGTCTGACGGCCTCCTTCATGACTTTGGGCCTGCACAACATTCTGCCACTTCCTGAACTAGCCAGCAAGAGCATGCTGGTGCGGGCTGGTACACGGATTGGAACTGTTCTCGCACAATATCAGTGTGAAAGTGGATCCAGCGATTTTCTACACGTGACTGCCTCTGCAGTGAGTGGTAGCGTTGACCCTAATCCATTCATTTCAGACTCATCGCAGGGTGTAACATTTAAGGAGGACTGGACAAATAGTGGTACCTATTCCATATTTATTCGCAACAAGATTCGCCAGCATACCTCTCTGACGGAAAGTGTCAAGTTCAACTCGGTGAAAGCCGTGCGCACTGGTGCAACAATCTCAGTACCATCGCTGGCGACTGGATCCTCTACGCCACCCATTCTGACAGTTTCACAGTCTTCGCTGAGCTCTGGCCTACCGGACTACCACTTCCCACAGATCATCAGCAATGTGTCCACACTTGGCCATACTCTATGGCCGGCAATGAGTACTGATTTGGCTGATGTGATATCTAGTCCGCGACCTCCTCCAACACTACCCTCGACTGTTACCCAGGCCAGTTCAACCACAGTGGGGAAGCTACAGCAGCGACTCCAGCAGGCTTCTCTTAGCAGCTCAGCCAGCACATTAACCAGTGCTGTTGATGCTCTGGCCGTTCAGCGAAGTCAGCTGACCTGCCAGTATCTACCAACAGCTTCAATGAGCCATCTTCGCCAGACTCTGCAACTCCTGGGATTGTCATCGTCTGGAACACGACAAGATCTTGTAGCTCGTCTGCAGGGCGCAAGCAATACTGGTATGAATATGCCAATGATAATGACTGCAACGTGTGCTCGATGATATGGATATGTCGTCTCATCCCAAAGTAGATATGCTTGGTTAGATAGAAAGAGGCTATGTTGCAACTCACATGTTCTGCGTAATCATCAGGCATGCAGAACGTGAAACTCAGAGTCGCAACATAGCCTGTTTCTTTCTCTCAACTAACTGTGCAGAAAGGTCTGCCTTCACAGGCACTGAGCACTTTTCAGGCAGTGAAGCATGTTACTTGTCGATTATTCTTGTCTAGATCGGAAAGGAAGATTGCTACCCATGACGTTACCCTCTAACTGTTAGAGCCCATTCAACAGCCTAATTGTTGGTGGTTTTCTTGGAGGAGGGAGGGGAGGAGGGAGGGGGGGGGGGGGCTCCACTCCAAGGGGTTAATACGTGGACTCGTACAATGCATATCGTGATAATGATTGTAGTGTTTAGTACTGTTTACTTATTAGAATGCATGTATGGATAATAATGTACATGCGTGTATGGGTATGTACCTCCTGTTCCTTTTGTTGATGCACAGAATGTACAGCTCTACAATCTGCCATACCGTCCGGAGCTAAGTCTGTGTATCAGTTCAATGGTGATTGCAGCAGTGGAACGGCGTGTGTGGACATTGAGTCGGGTTTTGAATCACTGATACTGCCATTGAAATTCCAGCACAGCCAGACATCAGCCACCGTCAGTAGTGTAGTGGTATCACTGGGTGATTGGACCGAGACCATCACCTTCAACTCCGCCACCGGTATGATCATAGTATCTAACATTACATTTCTCCTTGCTGATACAGTCATTGCCTATATCCATGTAATGTTAGTCATCCTGTGTGTGTGTGTGTGCGTGTGCGTGTGCGTGCATGCGTGCGTGCGTGTGTGTGTGTTGGGGGGGGGGGGTGTAGGTGTGTGTGTGTGTGTGTGTGTGTGTGTGTGTGTGTGTGTGTGTGTGTGCGTGTGCGTGTGCGTGTGTGCGTGTATGTGTGTGTTTGAGACATAAAATTTCTTCGACAGTGTTGCATGTCATCTGCATATCATGGCATAGCCCTCTACCGGTGTTCACTGACTTCAACAGCATGACTTTTGCAGAGAGCTGGAAATTAAATCGAGGGCGGAGGGAGGTTGTTGCTCGTTCCAGGTTTTGCCGCTGCTACATACTGTTCTGAAGTTTGATGCATCCATTGAAAATCTGCGTTGTGCCATGTGTTTGGTGTATCATCCTCAGGATACGACAATCGGTTCTTTACCCAGCTTCTGATTAACGACAAGGAGGTACATGTGGGCGTTACAGTGCTAGCTCCAGTAGCACGGCTATCGCTGCGGATTGACCTATGTAATCTTGGCGGTCTGCCATGCCAGACATACCGCAGCATACTGGCCACAGCACAAGTACCCGCCTCTAGCACACCAGGTATGTGTGAAGGGTTTAAACTTTAATGCACTCACCCTACACACTTGCACACCAGGTACCGTATTTTACCGGTTATAAGTCGACCCCGGTTATAGGTCGACCCCCCGTATCCAGAGGTCAGAGATTATGTTTTTAAAGTGTTTGCCCACCGAAGCACTGCTAACCGCTCCCTGCTACTAACACATGAACAAATCACATAAACACTCCTCATTGGATTCTGAAACATCCCAATCCTTGAAAAAGGCAAATAAACTTGGCAAAAATGCATACACATGGTGCACTCGTGTATTCAGTGCAGGTCATTTTTGGAAGATACCGATAATTCCCGGTTATAAGTCGAATCCCGGTTGTAAGTCGACCCCCACCTTTTCTCCTGCTATTTTCATCATAAAAGGTCGACTTATAGCCGGAAAAATACGGTATGTGTGAATGGTTTTTAAAGCACTCACCCTACACACTTGTTTGTTGCACAAACCACCCCCTCCCCTCAAACATACACAAACATATTGACATGGCTCACTCGGCATCAGTCGGGTGCTATACAAGGGAAACATTTTTGAGCATTGGTCTTTGCGCTGAACTAGTTGTGCCTGTGAAATCTGGGGCTGGCTCGGGATCCGAATTTGTGCTATTGGTGGACATGTGTGTTTGGCAGTGAATCATGGATGTGGTATCAACGAGATTTTGGTGTGTGTGTGTGTGTGTGTGTGTGTGTGTGTGTGTGTGTGTGTGTGTGTGTGTGTGTGTGCGTGTCACGTGCATGTGTGTGTGTGTGTGTGTGTGTGTGTGTGTGTGTGTGTGTGTGTGTGTGTATGTATGTGTGTGTGTGTGTGTGTGTGTGTGTGTGTATGTATGTGTGTTTGTATGTGGTCATTCCTGATTCTAGTGGCTGTCAACTCCAGTGCACTGCTACTGTGGTCTGTAGCTAGGCTGCAATCAGAACTTGATTTCTATCAGCTGTCAAGCACTTCTCTCAATGACATATTCACTGACTTCCAGCAAGCCGTCATTGGCAAGGTGGGCCTCCATGTCGCTCTCTGCAGTGGTTTCGAGACGGCTGTACTATATTTTATCCATCAAATTAAGAAATGGATCTTGGTTGGACATTTTCAGTTTGCCTCAGAAGTAGATGTAGAATTCAAGTGCATCGGTGTTTTCAACTGGGTTGGTTGATTAATTGATTAACAAAGAATGATGTCAAAATCCGGCTTGTCGAAGGCAAATGTCCTCATGATGTGTATTTTTACTCCCTATGGCAATCTCTGTCTGTGTGTGCGTCTGTGCGTGTGGTTGTGCTTATCGTGTGTGTTTGTATGTCACCTAGGCCTCGATTGGACGGTCTAGTCTCCTTCCAGCGATCACGGATGAGTTTGTTATTCCCAAGAGGATATCCGTGTCAGCATCGGGCACTTTCACTTCGGGTCTAGTGAATTTCTTCGAGGAGAGGGTCTCGCTGAGAGTTGGTGCATTGCCACTGACGTTTGGTAAGGACATATGGGTATCAGTGTTAGTCAACTTGTGCACCAGGTCACATGGAGCACACTGTAGACAGACTCCCCTCAACACAAAGCACAATGTATTGATTGCACCTTTAGCTCTCCTATCACATTAATTTTTAATTATAGTATCTGCATTCATTGTCACTCAGTCACGTCTTTCTTAAATGCACCGACGGTTTGTTAAAGTTGTTCTTGTAATGAGTAAGTGAAGTAAAGTTTTGCACATCCATATTTCCACCATGTATTCATTTGTGTTTCTTAGAATAATATGTGTAGAGGGAGAAATAGAAACACACTGCAGGCAGTGAGGACAGATGAGATACAGCTAACGTTCTCAGAGTGTCTCCTGGAGCTACTGATGCAGGAACTGACTGAGCTAACATTGATAGCAAAGAAGCAGATGCTTTGAATCCCAGCTGGTGGGTTTGCTTCAAGATACTTGTGCAGAAGTTGGAAACGAACCGTAGATGCTGTGTGTTGCGTTACTTGTGCGATTCAATGAAATTGGTCCTCTCTCTCTCCTTTCCGCTGTGCAGTGTTTGGTGCATCTGGTCATATTAACATCAGTATAGGCTGGTCCTTGGATGCCTCTAACTACAAGGCAATCGTAAGTTAGAAGTTCACTATCGATGATAACATGGCGTTATATGCACCTTACTTCGAAGTACCTAGGGGATCAGTCTGGACTTATGGCTGCTGTCTGAAGATTCTATTGGTGAGAAATGCAAGTAGCTGTACATGTAAGAGAGGCAGATGGCCATTATATCATGGCAAAAGGCTTGCTGATGTAGCCAGGGAAATTATAGATGTATCTATGCATGCATCTGGTACAAATATGCACCAGTTAGCCCACAAATACTATGGATGAAAAGAAGTTTCAGGTATTATCTAGCCACGTGTCTCTGACACTACTACTGGTTTGAACTGTGCCTGCTGCTGGCAGTTGTTTATCACAGTTTTGGAGTAGGTTGGAAACGCATGCCCACAGTAAGACTAATGGTGTTTTGTGATAATGTATTGCACTCCTGTTCAGCTTGATATCACTCCCACAGTCGTCATGTCAACGTATGGCAGAGTGCGGGCTGGCTCATCGCAGTTTGCCGAGGCGTCGCTAACAGGACAACTGGTAAACGTGCAGTACAAGACGCAAACTGAGAGCAACTTTGGACCACTGCCATTAACATCAAAGTGAGTATTGCATTGGTGCACTGTTGGCTTCCTCTGTGCTAGCATTATCGTAGTGCACAAGCTTGCTCATTAGTGAATGCATGCTGGTAGTTCATAACCCCGTGCACTCCCATTACTTTGTACATGTACCTCATGGGGTATTTTGTACATGTACCTCGCGGGGTATTTTGTACATGTACCTCGCAGGGTATGTACCTCGCGGGGTATTTTGTTGTTGTTCATTGGCTACTCCAGACCAACTATCATTGTCCCTCACCTAATCTGTAGGGTGAATTTTGTCATCTTTATGCCGAATGTGTTTGCCGTCAAGGAGTGAAAGGAAGCTTCCTACTACGTCCTTTGTTTTACTCTTTATGCTCTGGTCATGAAAGGACTGTAAAAATGGTATTTTCTCTTTTCTTTTTCAGAATCTCAATAAATGAAACGCTCTTGGGTAGTCGGGTTGTCCTGGCTACTCGGCTGGTGGAGAACTTGGTGAATGGCGGCGAGAAGGACTTATCCAGGAATGAGCTGTGGGATTATGTCACCGCACCACAGAGTGATTCGCTGCAGCGTGAGCACAGTCGCATCGACTCCACCCCGCCAGTGTTCTATAACGTAGCCGGACCGCCAGTGCCACTATCATCATGCTCTGTGGAGCAGGTAGGAAACATGTTCTTGCTAGATACATATCCTGTGCACTGCACAAGGGTACTGCAGTGCGTATAGGTCCACAGTCGACACAATACACTATTTATGCACATTTGTAACTATGACACTATTTCTTGCAAGTATTGTATTTTTTTGGATTGTATTTTATTATTTTACTTGGGCATTCCCAACAGACCCTAAGGTCTTCTTACAGGGTGCCCAAGATGAATGAAATTGTTAAGTTCCTGGCGAAATGAATTGGGGATATGATTTGTGCGAAGGGATTCGGGAAGCGCATTAAAGCGGTCAGCACCAAGCAATGAAATAGATCTCTATCCAGCTTGAGCTTGCACAATGGGTAAGGAAAGGGAATAATTGACTTGGCCGTGGGTTACTCTATCTGTGTGAGCGCAGTCACGGCGAAGGGAGAACATGTCAGAGAGGAGTGAACTGCAGATATTGTGGATGCAACGGAACACGAAGAATATGGACTTAGTATGATATCTTTTCAAGTCAAGGCTGTCACATGACAGCAGTTCCTATGCAATGTATATTTTGCAAGTATAACTTGCCAATAATGAACCCTGGCGACTGGTGGCTGCGACAAACCTCTGGACACTGGATACTGGACATTGGCCGGAGACACTCCTACCAAGTCCCAAATTCCAGGGCTTACTAGGGTGACATCCTTACCACTGGCGTGTGCATGGTTGTGAAATGCTGCGGTGTTTTCATGTACTGATCTTCTGTCACGGTGTGTGTCTGTATTGTCTTTGTAGCTACCGTATCGCTCCATCCGTCACCCAGCAGTGAGGCTATCAACGTCCGTGAAGGATGAAGACAGTGTAGTTAATGATGCACAGTACTTTGTCGGCACAGCACAGGGTCTGAGCGATGTGTTGCCACGTCAACCGCTCAAGTCCCCGACTGTGGTCATCCCCAGAGTCTTGTCTGGTGGCACGACACTGTATTTAGTGATTGAGGTAGCCAGTGCTGGAAATACATCGACAACAAGTTGTGTGCTAAGCAACTATGAGTCTCAGCTTCCGCAAGGTGGGTCACCACTGCAAAATCGCTCTGTTGACGCTGCAAAATTGCTTATCATCTCCCTCCCTCCCTCCCCCCTCTCTCTCTCTCTCTCTCTCTCTCTCTCTCTCTCTCTCTCTCTCTCTCTCTCTCTCTCCCCGTAGCTCTCTCCCTTTTGAAATTCGCTTCCATAGAATTGGGCACCATTGCCCGTTTGGCCTTGCGAAGTAAAATAAAAATCAACAACATCAACAGTGGGTACATGCACATGTACAAACAGTGCTGCTCAATCTTGCAAAGCAGCATTTCAACATTCCACTTCAATAGTCAGTATACCTGTTTAGTCTCGGTCGTCTCATGTCGGCTGTACTGCTCCCTTTCCTCTGTTACTCACCATGGTATTGGTGCACCACCACACTTCTTATACTTTCTTTCTACGCCATGGCTGGCAAACACCCCCTCCTCATCTGTATTGGCACTGATTCATCTTTAGCCACTGGAAGGTAATAATAATATAATCCAATTGTGTGAGTCAAGTGCTGCCCACTGCTGTGCAGCCCTACACCTTCCAACACTGGGATTTTCACTCGTGCAGGGCGCAAAGCTGACTCACTTGATCGGATTTCATTGAGCAGCATTGTTCTCAGTTGAAACCTACCCACTTCCTTCTCCCTGGCTCTTTTGCTTGATGAAAGAGTACAAGTAGCCACTTTTCCTGAGTGAGACATTTATGATTACTTGATCACTTTGTTTTGTGCACTGCCGTCCTCTTCATCTTGATTTCCGTCTCAGTCCACCATTTTCTTGTTAATCACATATGGGGGCAGGAGGAAGGGGCCGGTAATTTGACTAATTTCTTATTTGAAAAGGGGGAGATCTGAAGACGAAATACTATTAGACTAGTCGTCACCACGATAAATAGAATCAGGGACTTTCCCTATAGGCCAGAGAGGCGTTACCACTAATCTATGATGTAATCAGTATCTCCATGGAGACAATGACTCCCTTTAGTATAAAAATACAAGTAGAAGCTGAGTACAGCCGGAAACGGCATGGTTTCGTTTCTGCCTTTTCTGTACCTTTTTCTCTCTTCTTTTTTTTTACAAGAAACCACTCAGTATCTCAAAAACAGATACTGCATGGTAGAGGTGGCTACAGTCGCAACTGTGCTGGTGAAACTGGAGTATCTCCGCCAACCAAGGTCTCCGTGGCACTTCAGGCACACTCTAGTGCACCAGGGATGAGGAGATATATCTTGCGTCTAGGTATAGCTGTAATGTGGTGTGCTTAACTTCTTTGAAGCTGTCTTTGATATCGGACTTTACTTGTGTGCATCATTTTCTTTTCCAGGTCTTGTCATACCTGCGTACGCGTACTCCAGCCATCCCAATCAGCTGCTTGCCGGCGTAGCCTTCTGGGATCAGTTTGAGCTGTGGCCTGAGCTGTGGAGAGCCATTGGAACAGAGCCTGGTATCCAAGGAAGTAATGTGCTGGCCTGGGAATCCTTCCCATCCATAGGTCTCCACTTTCAACCGACTGGTGTTACAAGCAGCCTGCAATATTTCTCATCACCTCAGGCAAGAAGCAGTGTCAGCGTTTGCATGAAATGTACTACAATTGATATAAGTCCTTCTTTATTATCTCCAGTGTGAAATCCTATGGGATAATATCCATGGATTCATGGTCTGTGGGCAAATATGAATGTAGAAGTGCATTGTGAGCCAATCTTTATGGCCCAGTACTGTAGCTAAAAACACTCCATCTGCTTGTGTGTGTCTGTGGGTACAGCCTGGTCAACTGGACTCGGATCCTAGGGAGGTTGTAAGCGCCGTGAACAGCAGCACACGCTGTGCCAGTATCTGCCACGGACGCTCGGACTTTCAGTGCATAGCCTTCGACTACTCAAGAACTGTGCAGGATTGCAGACTTCACACACTATCACTTGGCTCATCTGTGCAGCTGGTGATCGTAACTGACTACAACTACTATACACGCTTAGGGTTTGGTCATGCTGAGCACCTGTTTACTGGCTTGTCGCTTGTCCACAACCAAACGCTCTATGTCAACGGGATTCTCCGTTCTAAGCTGGGTCATGCCGTCCTTCTGACCTCTAACCCAGTCCTGATCGACCTGACTCCTCCGTTGCCGGGCAACCTCGGCACACCAATCAATGACACGACGGTTGCCGACGGCTGCACAGCATCAAGCCTGCAGCGCTGTATCCAGCCAACCCCAATACAGAATCATCGGTAAGGTGGCATGACATAGCCATGCCCGTAAGCAGAATGTGTAGGTAGCTCGATTCAAGGTGATCGCTCACATCGTAATTAGCTGCGTGTTCTACTGAGTCGACCTATGAAGCAAACAGGTTTGGTCCTAATGTTTAGCAGGAATTATACAAGATAGTGGCCGAATAGAGTTGATTAACACCTCCACTCACACTCAGCTCCAACAACAATAACAACTGCACGCTGTAGCTAAGTGTTGAGTTTTGCAGGTACAGTGTACACACATTGCCAGTGTATCGTTAGGTGTAGGCGTGGGTGATAGTTCATGTGTATGAAAGGGAAAAAATGTGGTTGACAGCATTTTGTGCTCATTCTTTTGTTGGCAGGCTTATCACGGACAGTGTGTCATCAAAGGTCCTGTTCAATGGTCACTCTCCACTGTCAGAGCTTACTTACACCCACATCAACAACTTTGTGTCAGGTAAGCATCAGATCGTAGTGTTGTAACACTTCAACATGCCGTATAATCTACCTGTAAAGAGACTCGAACAAGTTCGGGACAGCTTTGTGGTGGGTCTGATCTCCTCGTATCTGCACCTTGATCCACACAGGGTGGTGGCGTCCCTACGGATGCAGAAAACTCGGCCTCCAGCCAAGTGTAACGCAAACCGTGAAGATTTTTGTGCGTACGGGTATGTTTAGACAACATAATGGTCACTAAGAGTGTAAGTCATGATGTGTTTACATGTCTATCATTGATGGTCACTTCTGTTTTTGTTTGTGTGTATGTATGTGTGTGTGCATGTGTTCATGCGTGTGTTTATGCACACACGTGTCCTCGGGCATGCCTGGCTCACATACTTCACAGCTCATTGGAACGGATTCAGTGATCCTGAGACAGGCATATGGGGGTACACATGGTGCGTGGGAAGTGCCTTGGGACTGTGTGATGTGGTCTCGCGACGTGATCCACACGCCAACATCCTTGCAGCAAGCGAGTGGACCAACACAGCACTGGAGAGTAACTTGCTGTTGGCCGATGGTACATACTATGTCACAGTACAGGCTCTGAATGCTGTTGTGTACGGTGGAGCTCTGGTCACTACGGTACAGCACAGTACAGGTCTGGTAGTCGATACTACACCGCCTGCTGTACACCAGGTCTCTCTGACTAGCTATACAGCCAGTAGTCAGACTTTGGTCTTCTCCGTCAATGCCAGGTAAGTCTGTGATATGATGCAACATCCACTGCAGACTACTGTCTGCTCAACTTTCTCTGAACACCAGTCTTTAGAATTGTCACACTGTTCAGTTAAAATGGTGGTATGAGTATGCCGCACATTGAAATTATGCTAGAACATTTGCCAACGTGTTGTGAAACACTTCTGCTGGTTGTGTGTCTATGTGTCCATGCAGTGATTCTGGCTCACCAATCCAGTCACTCAGTTACGGTCTTGGTCGTAGCACCCGTGATGTGCTAGTCCAGGACTGGCAGTCTCTAGCAGTGCATGCTACCAACACCTACACCGTTACTGTGAAGGTACCTTTCGGTGTGGATATCTGGGTTAGAGTACAAGTACAGAACAGAGGTGAGTCGGTACATGAAACTCTATCGGCTTGCTGCCTTTAGTGAGTCATAAGGTGTCTTCATCTTCAGATATTTTGAGAGCCACAGTGTTCTGCATTTTCAGCAAGGTATCACTTTGGAACTATAGTGGCTATGTGATTATGTTATTATTTCGAGTGTTTTGTGTAGTGTAATATACAGGCGATGGTTCTCCATTCCATACAAACTATATACTATGATGTCATTCTATACAAACCGCATACTATGATATCATTTAGCATAATTTGTATAATATGGAAACGCCTTTTGTAGAAGTACATGTACATTAAAAGCATCAGAAGTCACTGCTCCGCCGGCATAACTAAGTATTGTGCTCTGCCAGTGATCCTGCCAGAGCTCCTATTCTAACACATGTTTACATGCATGTGCTCCCCGGTTGTGTCCTGTGTCCAGCTGGTCTCTCCACGGCCGCAGCTTCTGCTACATCCTTTGTCGTTGACACAAGCCCACCCAGTGTCGGTGTGGTGCGTGACGGCGAACGTAAGGGAACTGACATCATGTACCAGTCGTCAGCGGATATCGTCTGCGCTAACTGGTGAGTGCATGCGCTAACTGGTGAGTGCATGCGCTAACTGGTGAGTGCATGGGAAGCTTGGGTATTTTAAATTGTGCTCTTTCTCCCGGGTTGCCTTTCGGTTGGAAACTTAATGGATATAAAAGAAGGTAGTGGGGATTTAACTTTAACCCTTTGAGGACGAAGGACGAATATATCCGTTTTGGTATAGTTAACTGTCAGGCGGATGGTTTCAATTGCCCTGTGCATGTGGTGACTTGCACATCCTCTCTCAAAGCCAGTACCATTTGAGAAGAGAAATTTGAAACATACTGCGCCATTACAATCAGTAACTTCACCACGCTGCCATTCACTCTCGACTGATCCACTCCACTTGTACATCACCATCGTAGCGAGGACATAGCGAGGACATAGCGAGGACAATTGATATACTGGTATTTCAGGTCCTCTAGACGGCTGCTTCGCTCGAACAGAGCTCATCGGTGAAGACAGTAGAATTATAATGAATGATATGAGGTAGATGTATGATGTTATTGTTGTGTGACGAGGCCCGGGGCTGACCAACCATTGGAGTGGTAAGAATGAATGGTTGGTTGGAGTGCAATGGGCTACATGGTGACCTGACAGTGCTGGGTGAACTCAGGTGTTGTATCAGTGCGAAGAATAGCAATGCAGATACATAGCTGTTTGGAAGGCAGTGCGAGTTCTAGCAGCACGAAAAAATGTGCCGCCTATTGCCACAGCCGTAAAGGGCAAAGCTGGCGCAATTGCACACTTTCTACAGAGAAGTGTGACCTACTTTGAAAAGCTGAGATGCTAAAGGTGATAACAGCTCTAACTGAGGTGATAACACAGGTGCGCATTGCTGGAGCATAGCCTGTACGAGTCCTGTATGTAGCGTGCAGCGCTAGAAGAGGTGCGGAAAATAAATCAACAGACAGCACTCTAGCACCTCGGGTTCTTAGGCCATGTCACACTTCTACGTTGAAGGTGAAGAATTGCGCCAGTGTTGCCCTATAGAACATCATTCATTCACCTCACAATATTCATTTTCTACTACTACAAATACCTCCACCGATGAGCTCTTTTGGAGCAAAACAGCTGTCTGAAGGGTCGGCGGTATCAATGAAATTGTCCTCTCTATGGTGATGATAAGCATGTGGAATTGGTCAGCCGAGAGCACGGTCTGTTTGTCGAGTTAATCAACAGTGACTGGTTATGTGCGTGAATATCATTTGTGTACATGTACAATCACTTTGATTGTGTGCAGGGATGGGTTTGAAGACCCTGAGTCCGGAATAAGCCACTATCTCTGGTCGATAACTACCAGCAACCCAGCATACAATGCTGGACTGCCAGCTGCGAAGCGCCTGCCCTCATCGGCGTCAGCAGACTGCACACGACTATCGCCAGCACTGCCACACAATGTGACGGTCTACTCCACGATTACAGCTGTTCACGATGCTGTGGAGCAGCTGAACGCAACGAAAACTTCTGATGGAGGTGAGATACTATGTTCATTGAGCGATGTTCACCAACATGCACAAGAAGAACAGAGCTAAGATGATGGAAGATGTCGGCAGTGAATCAACTATATGCTCATACCATACAGCTGCCAGATCCTGCTGGCATTTGTAGGATCAGCAGTGCAATGCCTTTGAATAACGTCCTTGCTCCTTTTATAACTCTTTTTTTCCCTGCTCTTTCACAGAACTGTCCTATCTTTCAGCAGATGTGATCTGCCTGCTGATATTTCAGGTGTGGTTTCCCTCCCCCCCCCCCTCCCCCCCCCCCCCATCCTACATTCACTGCTGTTTACAGATGCACTGCAGTTACATCATCACATTGTGTTCATGTTCTCCTTTCAGTCATTGTGGATCAGTCTGCCCCACTTGCCGGTCAAGCCGCCATTGGACGCAACGGTACATCCAGTGGTCCGTACTGGTCTGAAACGTACCGGCTCAGCGCCTTCTGGTCGGGGTTCAAAGACCCCGAGTCGGGGATATCGCAGTATGATGTATCTGTACTGCACACTACTGGTGGATCGGGGCCAGATGTGATAGCATCTGCAACCATGCCTGCTAATCAGCTAGTGTACGACTGTTACAACCATGACTGGGAGGACGGTGACAGGGTACAAGTACAGGTTGCTGCTAGCAATGCGGCATTGGAAAACACCACAGTCATGTCGCAGGTAAGTACTTATTTGCATGTGCCTGTGCCTAGGGTAGCGCAATGTGCATGTGCCTAGGGTAGCGCAATGGGTTCTTGTGTGATCATCATCGGTTATACATACTATGGTTTCGAGGCTTATGCTCACGTGTTCCAACTTACAAATGTATTTTGAAATGGATGACATCATACTTCACGATGCAAAAAGAGTGTGCGTGCATGTGTGCGTGTACATTCTGCATGTGTGTTGTTATGTACGTGTGTGTGTGTACCAGGTGGTGACAATTGATAGCAGTCCGGCCGTCATATCAGAGCTGAATGATGGAGCGGTGCCAGGTGTAGACCAGCGTTACGTCACTGTGAACGACACAATTGCAGCAAATTGGAATGCCAATGACAGACAGTCGGGTGTGGCATGGTACGAGATCACTGTCAACCAGTTGCAGAATGGGAATCGCATGCAGGTAAGCATGCACACGGACATGTCTACTTAGGCATGCCCTGTATCGTCAACAGCTTTCTACCAACATTCTCAGTGCTAGAATTAGTTTGAGTTTGACATTTCTTTTGAAATGTGGAAACCATCAAATCTCCCGTGTGCAAACTTGTGTTGGATTATATGAGAGAGTGTTGCATTGATGGCAGCCGGTTTTGTTGTTTCGCCGTGCTCAAACTTCATTGTGATCAGTTCACCAACTCTCCGCTCTGACCTCCTCAGACGAGATCTTCTGTTTCAAGGTCCAAGTGCCTGGCTTTCTGTAGGTTGAGTTGCAATTGGTGCTCTTCTTGGTCTGTTCATGCTGCAGGTATGGCCAGTTGCACCGGCAGTAGCACATAGACAGAACGCCAGCACCTCCAGTTTCAGCACAGCATCTCTGCCACTGACAGATGGCAGCCAGTATTCTGTTGTGTTGTCCGTGATGAATGGTGCTGGTCTCATGACGCATGCTGAGAGTGATGGTGTGTTAGTTGATACAACACGTCCTGTACTCCGCAACCTTGCTGTTTACTCCTCCCTGCCTGTCGGTCTTGTCCCGGCCAACAAGGATGAAAGTGAAAACCTTCTGCTGAGCTCCACAAGCTCTCTGGCTGTATCCTTTGAGACGTATGACTTGCAGAGTGGCATCAAGTCATCACGTGTGGGTATACGAAACACAGCCACTGGTATGTATGTGCCAAGCAGAGGCTACCCTAGTGGACTAGCTGACTTCGGCCAGGAAGTGTCAGGCCACTTGCAAGACTTGACATTGCTTCGAGGCGATGCCGTGACTGGGCCGTTCTATGAGGTGACCGTCATGGTTGAGGACAAAGCTGGCTGGAGCTCACAGATGCTAATCTCCGACAGGATCAGGTAGGAGTCCAATGCATGCAGAAGGTAGCTGGCTACCCATTGTGCAAGTACTGATATTGCTTTAGGTGTACTGTTTACAACTACTAAAGATGTGATGCTTCAAAGCTGAAAGTACGACTATTGGTACATATTTTGCCAGCGGCATGAGCCATACCTATTGGATAGGGTTTAAAGAACATGCTTGTAACATCTTCTATAAACATATTTGTTATGCCTGTATGCTCTGGTGTAGGGTTATTGCTAATGACACAGCTGGTACTGTCTTTGACGGAGGAGACCCGGCTGAAGACATTGACTATCAGTCCGATGACACCGTGCTCACGGCAACTTTCCACGGATTCGAGGTAACATCGTGTGACATCGAACATGTTACCTGGGCCGCCAGCACACAACGCGACGATCCCGAGGTGGACATGTCCTTCACAGGTCATGGTCTCACAGTGACATCACCATCTGCTAGCACCCCTATATCGGGCCATGTCCATGCTCCAATGTCCAGTCTTCAGGGAAAGCGCTTCTTCTTGACTATACGTGTGCAGACTGCATGCGGTACCGTGCTGCAGGCAACATCGGACGGTGTGCTCGTGGATAACTCTCCACCGGTGGTTAGCACCAGTACCTTCACTGACGGTCAATCATCATCCAGTGTGCCACAGTATTCAGCTGATTCTACCGTGAGCCTTGCCTCATGGGCGCACACAGACCAGCAGTCGGGTGTAGAGAAGATGGACGTGTTGATTGGTACCTATCCTGGAGGTAGTGACATTCTCCCTGTGGCCGCCAGTCAGGGTAACCAGCTACAACGTGGTCAAGGCACACAGGGAGACAGTGGTCTGTCTCGCTACACACTGGTCACAGCCAGAAACAAAGCTGGCCTTACAACTCAGTCCGTCACTGATCCTGCTGTCATCGACACAACTAAACCAACCAAAGGACAGGTAGGCTGTGTGTGTGAATCCTGGATGGGATAATTGCAGTACAAGTTCTAAACACCAGAGAACATCTCTTTGCAGCTGTCCACGATGCGTGATGTGCAATGCAGTAACAGTGAGCAATGGCTGGCAAATCGGGAAGCTTTTTTTTGTTTTGGTATAATGACTACTTTGGAATACCACAAGCGAAACATTCATATCTCAACAGTGCATTGTCTCCACACACTGTGGGTATTTTGGAAGCAGTGATCAGTCCAAGTGTTCCTATCTTTATAATACAGGGTATATGAAAACTTTGTAAAATTGGGTAAGGCTATTGTAGCAAAGAGATTGGGTAAGGCTATTGTAGCAAAGAGACCCTGAATCTCTGGCGTAAAATGTGTTGAAAGTTTAGTTCTCTTGATTGGGGGCTGGCCGATGATGATGAGACATGTGGAATGCCAATTTTAAGCTGCCCAATTGGCCTCCTCTTCCTGTTAACCCACTGCATGTTGTGTGTTTATGTGTGCATGTGTGTTCTATGGTACAGCTGTTATGTAGCAAGTCACTACCAGTAACAGATGCTTGCTCACTTCGCTGCAGCTGGACAGGCTTCCGGGACGTTGAGAGCGGCATTGCTAGGTATGAGATAAGCCTGGGCTCGAGGTCTGGAGCACCGGATATCCACAGCAAGACAACGCTACCAGCACAGACTTCTAGCTTCACATTCAGTTCACTCAAGTGTACAGGCGGAGAATCATACTATGCCTCACTGTATGCCACCAACAATGCCAACCTTGCTGTTGCCATGTTCGGTGGAGTGATATCAGTGGACAGCACGGTGCCTGTTGCTGGGTCTATCACAGTTCTCTCTAATCACGTTGCTGCGAATCTCTCCTCAACTGCCCCTGGTCTGTATGGTCAAAATGTACCCTGTCTTGTGGGTGCTACACAGCTTCAGATCACATGGAGTGGCTTTGAAGACCTGGAGTCGGGAATTTCTGGGTAGGTGTTTGTTGTGGCAGTGAGTTGACTGTGTGTATAATGTCTCCAGGAAAGCAACACTAGACAACCAAAGGCAATGGGAGCTAGTCTCAGAAAACCCCTTTGGCAATATTTTCTTGTCCCCAACTTACAACTTCAAGTGGTGTATTGTACTTGTGTGCTAGCTCTTGGTCGCTTGTGTCACCACCCAGTAAGTAGCTTGCCCAGTGATGTCACCACCCAGTAAGTAGCTTGCCCAGTGATGTCACCACCCAGTAAGTAGCTTGCCCAGTGATGAATGGTTATGCAGCCTTACTACAGGTACCGGGACAAACATGACTTGTGTTTCTCCCAGAAAAAAGTGTTGGCGCATGTGTGGTTGCACGTCTGTAGCAAATGTCTTGGACAGAACAACGTCATAAGACATAGGCAACTCAAGGGATCTAGAATACTAGTAGCCATGTTTGCCATTGCTCAGAGCTGCATACCATTATACGAGTATACGTATCAGAAACTGGACTAGTGACCTATTGATGTATGAATGTTATCAATACTAATCAATATGAGGGAAAGCTGCAAACGGGAAAAGTCCGAAGAAAAAAAGTTATCATTACTGTGCTGAATTTTCCGCATATGTAGGAACACCACCGCCCTCAAGGATCACTGTACTAAGCATGTCATCAGTTATTTGTACTGCTATTTACACAAAGCACGCATACTTCAGTACACGTATGTTTATCATTGGCTGTGTTCTGTATGCCATGTTGGTTTTACAGATATTCAGTGGGACTGGGAACATCACCGCTGTCTGACAACATTCAAGAGTACGTGGACGTTCCGGCAACGACAAGCGCATGGACATTCCGCTCTCTGGAAACTTCGGTGCTGCCGTCCACTCTCCTCTACGCAAGTGTCCGTGCCCACAACCAGCTTGAGATGGTCACAAGCATCCCATCCCAGGCCGTAGTATTCATAGGTAGCAACCAGCGCAAGCAATCTGTGCACATCCGTGGCAATGCCGGCAGCAGCGTGCAGGTGGACACATCGGCCATCAATGGAACATGGCTGCCCAGTAATATTTCATGTGCAAGGTCTCTACGCTGGAAGATCGTCCCGTACGACACGTCTGCACCGCTCCAAGACTATCAGTCGGTATCGCCTGACGGTAGCAATGGTGTAGTTGGTCTCTCCAACAACAACTTAGCCTTGTTGAAGGGCCGCTCGTACCGTATCGTGGCCCAGTCCGTAGATGAATGGGGTGCGCGTAGAATGTATCACTCCGGTGGCATATCAGTAGCATCATCCACTCCTCTCCAACCAGGAATGGTCAGTGATGGTTCCTATGCAGGTGTTGACATTAACTACCAGCTAAGCTTGTCGGAGATATCGGCAACATGGACTGAGTTTGGAGATGACACTGCCGCCGGCCAAGTCCAGACCTACTGGGTAGCTGTGGGTACGGATCGCAGATACCCAGCCACACGCTCCAACGTCCTAGGCTTTGTGTCGGTCGGCAAGCAGCGCTCCTACACAGCATTCAACCTGAGCCTGTCTCGCTTCACGGTGAGGTATTATGTAACAGTACGTGCTGTTGGACAGAGTGGTGCCACCACCGAGGCTACATCTAACGGTGTTCTAGTGGGCTACTCCTCATCGGTAACAGCAGGACAGGTCACTATTGCTCCACTTGACTATCAATCAAGCAACACCAGCATACAGGCCACATGGGACGGTTTCAAGTCTCCGAGAGGTATTGTACGCTATGAATGGGCGGTCAGTACATCGCAACTCAGCTCCAGGGACTTGCTAATGGTATGCAATGCTTCAAACAGTAATCTGCAGTTCAGATCAGCTGGCAAGAGTACCAAGGTCATCGCTAGCAATCTTCACCTAGTCGACGGTGCTACGTATTTCATCACAGTGCGTGCTGTTGACCAGTCGCAGGACTGTGTCGCTGCGCAGTCAAACGGTGTTATTGTAGACTCCACACCGCCGCTAGCTGGTCGGTTGGTTGCTGGCTATGACAATCAGGCCATGGGCGGCATCCTAGCCTACTCCAAGAGCAGGAATGAGCTACAAGTTGCATGGTCGGGATTCACGGACAATATCAGCGGCATTGACTACTACGACATAGCCATGTTTGAAATAACAAACTGTTCGAGCATCACACCCATTGCCTTTGATGCTGGCCCACCCGCACACAAACTGGGTCGTGTCAATTCCTACACATTCACACAGATCTACCAGAAACCAGGACAGGCATACGTTGTCCGATTAAATGCCTACAACAAGGCAAAACTGGTGACGTCGGTTACCTCCGGCCCCGTTTTGGTGAGCAGTGCCATGCCCATCCGGGGTGACGTTCATGACGGCCCGTCTTGGACTGTGGACCGTGACTACCAGAACAGCACGACAGAGCTGTGGGCAAGTTTCACCCATCACCGCAATGTGTCCAGCACCACTGTCCCGTGCCATTCAGTGAAAGCCTATCCACTCACCTCACCATCAGCTGACTGGACCGGGCTCGCTGGCAGGTAAGAATAATCACACGATGTTCACAGCATGCTGTTCATACTAGTGATGAATCTCACGTCCACAACACAAAGAGAGCAAGAGGAAAGCATACAGTGCCTCTTAAAATTCTGTGCTGTGCCTATGGAAAGCCATACCCTCCGTCCCATATTCTGTACATCTGTCTTTGCAAACGTTTCCTTAACTTTTCTTCTACACAGAACATGAGTTGGCAAGAAACTCCTGTTTGCGACCTGTATTGTCGTGTGGTTACATGTGCAGTTTTGATGGCAGCGCAGTGCATAACAAGTTGAAGTTTGTGCCGTCGCAAGTGACGCACAGCGCGGTGACCGGAGCAGCACTCCAGCTTCTCGGCAACCTGTCCGATGACCGTGTAGACAGTTCCGGCTATCGCACTGTTGTCAACCTGCAGTCAGGTGGTAATGTTAGCTTTGAAGGTCAATCAGCCAGTGGTGATCCTGAGCTGAGGAACTTTACTGTCATGAGTGTGGTTCTATGGCACGGGCCTGTATCATCCATTACTACTGACCTACTGCAGCCAACTGTACCAGGTAAGACTTGCGCTGCTTCTTAGACATGTATTCTCTTGTAGTATCAATACTGTATCATGTAATTGTTTGGAAGGATGAGGTAGATGCCTGACTGTAGTGGGGATGTACACCGTTCTTACTCATTAGTATCACTCTTCCTTCCCTGACTGAAAACCTCTTTCCGTCCTGTGTGCTGTCCTCTGTCCACGTGTCGCCTGTTACAGTGTCCAGGGCTGAGAGTGTTCAGCTGATACCCAGTCATCAAGCAATAGGACTCCAGATACATCCAGGTAATCTCTTCACAATTCTGCTGTTTTTGAGGGGTCACACAGTAAAACTGCTCAATTTCAGTCTGCTGAATGGAGATCAGGGGTACCCTGGAGTATTCTCCTTATTCATACTTCGCCGGTTTCTTACCATGATTGGTGTATCACTCTCCCTCTATTATGCTGGATTAAGGTGAAGCTGCAAGGTCTAATCACTGTCACTAGATGAATTAGGTGGAATTGGTATTTTTACTAGAAAGCTACATGGTACTAAGCACGGTACTTTGCACAAGGATACAACTAACCAGTGTGAGCCAGTCAATAGTTTGTTGGTTGAATGGTCACTTGATTTATCTACGTAACGTTATTATGTCTGTTCTACCACAGCCTATGGAAACTATTCAGCTCGCTTGTTAGTATGGTCCAGAAAGGAAAACGATACATCTCAAGTGGAGACGGCATGGTACAACCTGGCGTTCGATCCAAGTGACGCGTTTCATCGATATCGACTTGTGTTCAAGCGCCGCGCTGCAGCTGACTTATGGACAATGAATGTCTTGCTTGATGATAGCATTGTCATAACCATGGCTGGTAAGGACATGGGGAGGGGGATAACTGCGCATTGTTGTGGAAGGATTGGCAACTTGTTTTGAGAATGGATTGTGAACCTCCAAGGAGTGAAACAAGGCTCTAAAACAAGATTTGCCCATTTGACCAGCGATTCCAGATTCGAAGATGCAGTAAATTGTGTGGATATAGATTGCATTTGTTTCCCCAGACCAGAGCAATAGGTACTATCTGTGATTTTAAGCTGGTGTGTGGCTATGTTGTCTGCTTGCATTATCCTAGGAGTGCCGCCGTTGACTGAAAGAACGAACTTTGTTGCTCAGCTCTTTAACCGCGGTGGCTTTGTGCCTGCAAAGCTGGGTGGAGTGGCTAGGTCGGTCACCGCTCATATCCGCAACGTTCGCTTCCCCCTCACCAACGGAGATTCATGTGACTTTGGGAAGCCGTTCTACAGCGCGGAGAGTCCAATAGTCCGCTTTGAAGCAGCTGTGGGCACTTGGCCCGGTGCCACCAATGTGCAAGATTTCAAAGTAAGATTTGGCTGAAGAAAGTGTTTATAGAAGCTTCTACTGGACAATTTGAATACCCTGTTTTACGCACTGTCTATGTGTGTTCTGAGTATCCCGCATGGTTCTAACTTTGGTGCGTCGGTGTCGCGGCGTGCGTGTGTAATTGGGGATATTGGCTATGAATCGTTCCACAAGGACAGAGGATGAAATTTGAAATTACTTTTGTCTTCTTGTGAAATTTTCCGGTCCTCTCCTCATTGTTGTGGGCTTAACATGCTGGTCTGTAATCATTGTGATCACTAGCTAACTTCTGTTGGTGCTTTTCTCATGCATGTACTGTGTATGTTGTTCTTTCCCTGTTTTCTGTGCCTCCAGTCGTTTGCAACACCATGCCGCAGCTGTCCACCGGGAGTGTGCCAGTCATCTTCTAATGTATGTGATACCAGGTGTGCATCTACAAACGATCCACACGTCATGCAGGTCTACTTGTCCGGATTAGAACTGAGCAACTTTGCCGGGCAAACACGGGACTCTGAGCTGGTCTGCACCTCGCGTACACAGTGTGCGGAACAGAAGCTGAGTAGCTACACAAGCCAGCCTAGCTTCTTCGTCACGATACGGTCTACGAATGGTGCAGGGTCGTCGGTGACATCAACATCCGACGGAGTCCGCGTCGATACCACGCCACCAGTGTCGGAACGTCAACCCGTTCACTTTGACGTGGAGTACTCTCTGAGCGAGTCCGTGGATTACCAGAGCAGTAACACCACCATCTACGCCAGCTGGAAGTTTGTTGATGTGGAGAGTGACATAGTGGAATACTCCTGGGCTATAGGGTCCACACTGGGTGGTACTGAATTGCAAGACTTTGTCTCAGTCGGCACTCAGACGTACGGAATCAATCGGAACTTGGCTGGTCAGCTTTCCCACAACGGTGTGTATTACGTGATGGTGGAGGCTACCAATGGTGCAGGATTGTCCAGTAATGCAAGCAGCGATGGAGTTACTGTAATCACCACCACCATCAACCAGACACAGGCTGAATCGGTCGTCAAGTCACTCTTCACTTTGGTGGTTGAGCCACCTACGAATAGCACGGCCATTGCTTACACAACGACGGAGAGGAGAGAACAGGCTGGAGTTAGCTGGGAAGGAGTCGCGTCTGATGTTGTGTGTAAGTCTGTCTTTTTGGGGTTCTATCATCTTCTGCCCCACACAAGCTTTATGCTGTATTGTTCAGTATATCTCTCTGCATCTGTTGTGGGCTGCCAGTACCAAGTTCGTTTGATCCACCAAGACTTTAAAGTGTGATACTAGTACTTTGAAATGTAGTAACATTATTTGTGTAATCGTGGTGTTCTGCTGCAGACTGGAGGATTGGAACGAGTCGCAATGCTGATGATATTCTCCCCAGCACCCGCATCAACACACAGAACACCAGCGATCAACAGGCTACGATTATCAATGCCCGTGTGATGTTGGGCAACGCGTCCATTGCTAACATCTCCGAGCTAGTAGCCAGAGCACAGGGCAAAGCAGAGCAGGAGAGTGACAACTTCTTCCGATTGGAGCCCGGTCGTGTCTTCTACCAGCGTGTAGATGTGTGCAACATTGCTATCCGATGTGCTAATGTTGAGCTGCAGCCTGCCGTCGTCTGTTGCCGTGAGTTCATCTGTACAATGCTCTCTGTGGAGCTCTTTTCTATAAGCACCCCCCCCCCCTCCCCCCCCCCCCCCCCCCCTGTGTTGCGTGATCTCTGCGTGATCTTCAAGAAGATGCACACACCACAATCAAGAACGAGGGTATATGACGGCGCATGCTTTTGTAACAGTAAATAGTTGTGCAAATGTTTGATCTCCAATTGCAGACAATCTGGTGTGCGTATATGTTAACGGCAAGTAACAGTGCAGTGATGTGTTGGCAATATGAAACTCTTACAAAACTGCATTACTCTCTAGCTGTAACGACATCATCCCAACCGCATGTGATCTGTTTCTTCGCTTCAGGACCCGGTATGGATGGCAGAGTGATCGCCAGGAACAACACACCATCAATTATTCTTGCCGGCCAGGCAAACTCCACTAAAGGAATGGGACAGTTAGATGCAGCAGATGGTCCATATTATGTTCTACTAAACAGCACAGAAGGTTTGTACTGACAGTCTGCTGTACCCAGCCTGCGGCTATTATCCACAACCATGAACCCCCCACCCCGTCACATGACTATCCATGTGAACAGCCAATCAATGGGCTTAGTGGACGGTGCAGTATTTCATGATATTGAACCCTCGCTGAAGTTATTGATTATTATGGCCAGCAGGGAGGTCAATGTTGCCAAGGACAGCAGATGTGGTAGCAAATACAATGGGGAAATCATCCTTGGACCTGTCGGTACTGCTGGAGGAAGCTGATTCCGAGAATATGGCAGTATTTGAATCTTGCTTTTGGAAGGTTGGTTAAGAGAGACTAGTTGAGTATATGGTGCAACGCTTAGGCATAGGTAAAAAAAGAGACCAATGGAACCGTGCCACAGTGCAAAAAAATGAAGCCGTCGGAAACGTGGCAAACTCAAGCACAGGAAAACAAAATGTGGGGTAGCATGGTCTGAGTATTGTATAGCAACAATGTTGCACTACAATACAATACTAGTGATACCAAGTATAGCATTGTATTGCACATCTCCAGCACTTTGTTACTCCAGTTTTCTTAGGCCACTAGTTCTATGTTTCTTGTGCTTACTAGCTTTGCCTGTTGGCGACACTCTTGTTGGAGGTCTGCTCTCCTCACAAGATATCCAGCACAGCTATTCACCAGCTGTTAGCTTTATTAGCAACCCTGTGCTCACCTCCAACCAAGCATCACGCCAGCTCACTGGAAGGTACGCCACATAAACCATTGCGAGGTTATAATGTTACTCATAGGCTAAGTCATAGCACTTTCATTCTGCTGTGTTAGTTCGTGGTGATGTCATCGTGATGTCATCGGTCACAATCCACCCTTTCACTGGGTTGGTGAAATATCGCCTTTACTTGTTGTTTGCGCTTCCTAGTTTGTCTATAGTCTGGTACAGGTATTGATTTTTCTTACTTTCAATGTCTCCTTCATTTGGGCTTGGGATTATAATTGCTTCAAAGGCCTGGTTGATGTGTTGTCACACCACCTTCTGGGACACATGATGTCTAAGCCCCCAAAAGGTTGTGAGGTAATAAGTACTCATGTCAGTGTAGTCATGCAGTACGGGGTTTGTGGTGTGAAATTGTCTTCTGTATTTATTTTGTTCTATCAGATTCCATAGCATCGCAGGTGCTAGTTTCTACGTGACGCCGATCAGCCGGCGAGGACTTGTTGCACCGGTGCTGTTTTCTGTCAACTTTGAGACGACGAGAGATTGGTCTGGTTACGTGCCAGCTGTGCTGTTCTGGAATTATGGTAAGATCATGTCTCCCCACACATCGAAGTCTCCATCCCAATGCTTTGCGACAGTTTCTCCTTTTGTTCCCAGTGGTTTGATGGGATATGATATACAGTGGGAGTGCATCAGCGCTCTATTAAAATACTTCCATGGCCCCTTTTTCATGGATGTATTAGGACCATTTTATGTGTATGTTTTCACTGAGAAATTGCAGGTGCTCTGAAATACTAGTTTAGAAGCGGCTTACTGTGTGTGTGTGCGTGTGTGTGTGTGGGCACGCGCGTGTGTGCATTTCTGTATGTGTGCATCTTGGTGGACACATGTATTTATGTGAGTATGGATAAAAAATTCATTTATGTTGTGTTTTGCAGCGACCAGTCAGTGGCACGATATAGAGGATTCCTGCAACATCAAACCTGTGGTAGACTGGGATAAGAAAGTCATCACCGGGTCGGTGAGTTTACCTGCTGCTGTGTTCTTTACGTGCTGCGGAGAGTGTTGGTGACTGCTATTCCTCGGATGAACTGCAAACGAGACCTGGTCATGTGCCTGAAGGACAGTACAATGCCAGGACATGTACTGTCCTTGTCCGCGCATCTCATCTCATATCTTGTGTATCAGATGGCTGTTGGGCTAGGTGCCCGGTCACTTATTTGATCCAATGTGGACTTTGGCTTCCCTACTATTCACGATGAATTTACCATTTCCTTTTTTGACTTTCTTTTTTCTACACTTAAGATCTGCTCTGGTAACATCACCAACCCTTTAGCAGTGTCTAGAAGGAAGCGACAAGCCGCAACTGTCAACGTAAGCTCCAATCTAACAGAACCCATGCAGAAATTATTAACTTCCACCCGGTGTCCAGAATTTGACCAAATCATTGGAAACTTAACTCTGAGAGACAAAGAAGCCGCAGTCATGGCTTTCTTCATGCCAGTAATCCTGTGCACCTTATGCTCTATACCTGACAGAAATGTTGGTGCAAATACTGGGACAGAACAGAGTGAGGAATATGTTGTCCAACATGAAGTAGTTGCTTGTCCTTAGTTACATCTATGCCATTGCTGAGCTCAGTGGATCCAGGTGTGTGGCTAGTTGCACCAATCAAACTGTTTGGATGTGTATATATTGGAGTGTGAGTGTATGTTTGTATGCACTGTCATGTCCAGTATCTCTCATCGGAGATGCACCTGATTGTAGCCCAGCTCCTGAACACCACCGTCAACACTCCACCCAGACTTAGCTTCAAACAACAGCAGCCGTACGTCATCGCGGAGGACAGTGCTACAGTTCAACTTGACCTGTCCAACGCCATTGAGGATGACGAGAAGGATACTGGCACGTTCTCCCTGACGTCCATTCCTGAGCGCGGCATTGCAACAATCTCAGCTGCAGGAATCCTACGCTATACTCCTTGCACTGATTGCACTGGTTCAGAGACCATAATGGTAAAGTTTACTGAGAACCCTCAAACCTCCTTGCCTCAGTACACTGCATCAAGTGCATTCACAATCTCCATCAGCAATGACAATGATCCACCACTGTCGTTCCTCTTCACATCATCACCAGCCAGCCGAACAATGCATTCCTCGACAACTCTGCAAACGTACGCAGAAGCTAATCATACAGCGGCACAGCTGGTGGCTCGGGTGGCCTTCTATGACTATGATGGTTCCTTTGATACTCTAACACATCTCGTGGAGACGTCACAACCTCTGCTCGGAACTCTGAGCGTAGATTTAGACTTTCAGGCGGTGGGTGTTGGTACCTCGATGCCTGTCGATTGGCCTACCGGGCATAAGGCAGCCTCATTCTCCGGTGATATTGTATTCACAGTCGCCAATATTACGTACATCCCACCAACTCCTGACTACACCGGCAGCGAGACGTTCACGGTAAGTCCGGGCTGCACTTATGACGATGTGTTCCTTTGCACTTGTACTGATGTTTCTGATTCTTGCTTGGTTATCATGTGGTAAGTTTGCCATGATTCCGGACTAGGGACATCTGTTGTACTTGTAGACATGTCGTTGTATGTACACGTGCCTGTGCTTGTCAGTAGGAGCAAGGCAAGTGTAATACGCGACCGAGTGACAAGGCAAAACTGGTTCAGTCTCTCCGGCAAAACACAGGTAGTATTCTCAGGGAACAATATTGCACACACGGAACGACAAACGTAGGTGACACAGAATTACTTATAGTATATTGAAAGACTCAATAAGTGAAGGGAAGACGACAGAAACAACGGACGCAAGGACTCTGCAACAACTGAGCTGGGCAACTGACACACGGATCTATATATATGGTACGAGATTGCCAGTTACAGCTCCGAGCGCTAGCTAGCGAATGAAAGCAAGGGATCTGATGGTGTCAGCAATGCATAGTGCAATACATAGTAATACATAGTGATTTGTGTAGGGGGAAGTCCGTCTACTACGCTACATAGTAATACATAGTGATTTGTGTAGGGGGAAGTCCGTCTACTACACTGCTCCCCCCTCAAATAATTTTCCGTCCTCGGAAAACAAACAAGAACATAATACAGAATTAACGTAGACCTAAACGAGGCTCAAGCAGCAAAATACATCAGCAAGAAAAAGAAAATCATACACAAGCACACAATGGAAACAGAGTGGAGCAGAAAGGCAAGGCAAGTGCGAGTTTGGAACTCATTGTGGGAACACATAGTTGTTCCTGTAACGAACAGGACGACCGGCGTTGCGGTGCAGATGGGCACGCGGACCAGGTGCTGGTGGTGCTGGCTGCAGCAAAACCGGCGGCGGAGGAGGAACAGGTTGGGGTGGGGCATCATCAGCATCAGGCCAGGAGAATAGCGGAACAGGCGGCGGACATGGAGAAGTAGGAGCCAGTGGCGCTTCAGACAGCGGGACATCTGGGCCGGACTGAGAGACTGACGACTTGGCGTTTGAGCGGGCGTGTAGCTTGAGGCGGTTGAAATGTACACGCTTACTGGTGCTGGAGGGTTCGTTGATCAATTGAATGTCGTATGACGTTGGTGGCGACACATGGACAATCCGGTATGGTCCGGTCCACGGTGGCTGGAGTTTGCGACGCATTCCAGGTTCAAGGAGCCACACACTATCACCGACTTGGAATGCAGTGCCACGTTGACGAAGGTCGTAGTGGTCCTTCTGGCTGTGGTGCGCAGCATTATCATTACGACGGGCAGTATCGAAGCTATGGTGGAGGGACTTGGACAGTTGTGTGACATATTCGGCGGGCGACACAAACTCTGTCGGGGGTGACCCATAGACAAGGTCGATAGGCAGACGGAGTTGGCGACCAAACATAAGCTGAGCTGGGGTGAATTGGGTAGAAGAATGCTTGGCTGTACGGTATGCAAGCAGGACGGTTGAAACATACTGATCCCAGAAGGTGGGCAGATCCGCTACATACACTCGCAACGTTGAAACTATGGTGCGGTTGAGGCGTTCCACGAGCCCATCGCCCTGGGGATGATACGCGGTGGTCCGAGTCTTTCGGATATTCATGAGGCGACACAGTTCACTGAAGAGTTCAGACTCAAATTGTGTGCCCTGATCGGTGTGGAGTTGTTCTGGGGCACCAAACCGACAGATCCAGTTCCGAAAGAACACATCCGCAACGGCAGCAGCAGTCATAGTGGGTAGAGGGTACGCTTCAGGCCAACGTGAGAAGTAGTCACTACATACCAGTAGGTAACGGTTGCCATGGCGACTGGTAGGCAGTGGTCCAACGAGATCCATGGCTACGATCTCGTGAGGGAAGCCAGCTCGCATGGACTGCAATGGTGCTCGGCCAGTCGTAGCGCTCTTACGGGACATGCACTCTTGGCAATTAGCTACAAATGTGCGCAAATCAGCTGACATACCTGGCCAGAAGAAACGGCATTTGGCCTTGTCAATGGTCTTTGTAGCACCGAGATGACCACCACTAACATCGGCGTGCACTGCAGCTAAGATATCAGCTTGGAAAGAGAACGGAACAGCTAATTGCAAAACAGAATCAGCCGATGGGTCTGTGCGATACAAAACACCATCACGTAGGGAAAGCAAATGAATTTCAGAAGCATAGCGGCGAACAGCACGGCTAGAGGCAGTTAATGTGTGTGCAGGGGGAGAATTAAACACATCATGACTAGAATCATGCCAGCCTAACACAATGGACACATCAGGATCCTCTTTTTGCGCAGCAAGCAGCTCAGCAGCAGTAAAGCGCGGCAGCCAGGAGTCAGGTGCAGGTTTCGGTACAGTGGGTCCAGGATCACAAGCAGGAGCAGGAGCTGGTGGTGCGGCTGGTGACGACTGGTCAGGCGGTGACTGACGGGTAGTGGCGGCAACAGACTCAGGAGGACGGCGAGACAGAGCATCGGCATTGCAATGTTGACGGCCAGGGCGATGAATAACCGTGAACTCGAGTTCAGCAAGTTGTTCTAACCAACGGGCACGACGACCGCGTGGTTCCTTGAGCGAATGGAGCCATTTGAGAGCAGCATGATCAGTGCGCACAACAAATGCTCGACCAACGAGGTAGTAGCGGAACACATCAGCGAAGTGAACAAATGCAAGGAGTTCCTTCTCTGTAGTGGAGTAGTTACGTTGGGCGGTGTTGAGAATAGCACTACCGTAGGAAATCACACACTCATGGCCATCTTGTACCTGAGAGAGCACACCGCCCATACCAAAATCACTGGCATCAACATCAAGGATGAAGGGAGCGGCGGCAGACGTGTAGTCAGGCTGAGCAAGCACAGGCGCAGATGAGAGGCGTTTTTTTAGTACACAGAAAGCAGCCTGACAAGCAGGACCCCAGGAAAACTTCGCATTTTTCTTAGTGAGTGCGGCCAGTGGGGCGGCAGCTTGCGCGAAGTGCGGAACAAATTTCCGGTAATACCCAGCGAGGCCGAGAAAACCACGCACTTCACGAACGGATGTCGGCGTACGCCAGTGAACAATATCGTGAACCTTCGAAGCTGAGGTGTGAAGGCCATCGGCACTGATGTCCACACCAAGGAACTTAGTGCGGGGCTGCAGGAAAGCGCATTTCTCAAGCCGAAGCTTGAGATTGTACCGACGAAGACACGTGAAAACGGACCGGAGGCCATCCAAGCCAAGACTAACAGTGGCTGACCCAAGGCCAATGTCATCAAAAAACACACGGCAGACGGGATCAGGACTGGTAAGGAGATTATTGAGGATCGTTTGCATCAAGCGCTGAAATGTGGCAGGCCCATTGCAGCAACCCATAGGAAGAACCGTGAACTCGTACAACCCAAGGGGCGTCACGAAGGCTGTTTTAGCTTGGTCTTGAGGGTGGATTGCGATTTGCCAGTAGCCACTAGCAAGGTCAAGTGTCGAGAATACCTTAGAGCCAGAGAACGCGTCTAGGGTATCGTCGACCCGAGGAAGAGGATAAGCATCAGCTGTGGTGATCTTGTTGAGCCGGCGATAGTCAACACAGAGACGCAGAGAGCCATCTTTCTTAGGCACGAGGACAACAGGCGAAGCCCACGGGCTCGCAGAGGGAGTAATGACACCTTTCTGCAGAAGGTCATTGATAATATTCTGGAGCTGCTCACGATGACGGAATGGAACACGGTAAGGTTGTTGTTTAATAGGCGAATGATCACCTGTGTCTATCTTATGTGGCGCAAGATCACAGTACCCATGGTCGTCGGGATGAAGAGCAAATACATCGTGGTACTGCAGGAGAAGGTCACGCAAGGTAGAACGGTCCGTTGGTGACAGGTGACAACAATTCTTTTCGATATACGCATCAATCTTCTCTACTGGGACAGGCGGCGGCGGCATGAACGGCGAATCATCAACAGCAGCACAAGTGTCAGCACACTCAGGGACAGGTTCACATACAGCAATATGAGTATTTGCATGCAAGGTAATCTGGGTGGTACCACGGTTAACCACATTGATAACCAAGTTATCCGGGGACGTGACAGACGTTCCGACATCCAATGTCGGGTGTTTCTCTGAGAACGAATCAAGGGGCTCGATTAGATACGAAGTATCAGCAGCAGGAGAGCCAGCAGCACATACCGACGGGGCAACCGGAAGAATAACTTCATGACAGGGCGGAACTGAAACAGACTGTGTGATGCACACACGGAACGAGGAAGCAACACGAGACACCAGAGATTCAACAGCATTGGCAGCAGCAGCAGGCGGAGCAGCAGCAGCAAGCACGGAGGCAGGGACAGCAGCAGGTACGGAGGCAGCGACGGCAGCAGGAACAGTCGGAGCACTCAGGTCGGGCACGACAGTCGTAACATGGGCTGGTGTGGGCGCGGCAGCAACAGCAGCAGAAAGCGAACGCACACGTGGAAGGGGTACAAGCGGCAATTTAACATCATCCAGGACCAACTGAGCCCGGGAGAAATCAAGCAGGACATTGTGCTGCTGTAGGAAGTCAGCACCGAGGATTACATCAGACGTGATATCAGCAGCAACGATAAAATTCTGAACAGCTACGAACGAGGGTGTACAAACAGAGAGGGACACGGTACCCGTAGTGGAGAGGGGACGGCCCGTCACACCAGACACAACAGGAGCAGCAGACACAGGGACAGAGGAGGTCGTGCACAGACTACGCCACAATGCAGTAGACACAAGGGAAACACTAGACCCAGTGTCAACAAGAGCATGGCATTTCGTCTCTTGGAGACTAACCGCAACATAGACAGACGGAGAAACTGCAGAAGACGACTGAACATGCGTAACAGGACACACAGTCACAGGTGCAGACGTAGGGCAACGCACATCAACAGTACAATAACAGGGACGACATTCACAACCAGTACAAGTCGGCACAGTCGAGCTAGGAACACTAGTATCGAAGACTGGAGCTTGCCGAGCAGCACCAGTCAATAGCGGTTTCCCGACGGACGACCCCCACGCGTCGAGTGGGGACAATCACGACGGAAGTGGGACTGATCGCCACACGTGAAGCACCCGCGATCACGCGCGCCATCGTAAAGTCCGCGGCCTGTGCCGTTGTACGGAGGCGGGTTACGATTCGAGCTGCCAGGAAATCGAGTTGGGCCCGATATGGGCGCGCTTCGAGGGAAGACGCTGTGACCACGGCCGCGTGGAGCTCGAGTGTCGTCACTATACGCCCGTGGCGACGGAGCGGAGGTTGCGGAGAAGACCTGTAGATCAGCTAGCTGGTCCGAAATTTTGCTCAACAACGATAGTACGAGCGGGTCGGTGGAGCTCGAAGTCGAACTCGGAGCTACGTGGGCCACGGTGGCACTGGACGTAGGAGTCGGATCCGCGAGTGGACCTACGGAGTGTGCCTGAGGCATAGAGGCGGTCAGGGCAGCGCAGGCTGGTGTAGGAACCGGAAGACTGCGGCGATTCTCGACCTCTAAGATCGCTGCAACTTCGTACGCCCGTCGAACGGCGGCATCGAGGGCTGCAGGGCTGGATGTCCTGATGTGCAAGCGCAGGTCACTATTGACCTGGCCGTCAATAAATTGATTGAGCGTCAGGCGATCTAACAGCGGACCCTGTTGACCTGGAAAGGCGCGTGCCGCAAGGCGCTGAAGAGCTGCGGCGAACTCGGCCTGGGACTCAGTGGATCGTTTCAGGCGAGCTCGAAACTCGGCCTCAAGGAGGCGACTTTGCTGTGGCGGTGCGAACCGTAGCCCTAATTCGGTGCACATTTCTACATACGTATACTGCGGGTGCGCCGCCAGAATGGTCTGGTAAGTTGTGAAAGCACTCTCCTTGAAACAACAAGGTAAAAACTGCAGCCTTTCCGCATCCCGGTACCCATTGACCACGCACGCCGCGTCGAACCTGGCGATGAAGCAGTGCCAATCGTCTTGGCTGGCACCCCCAAACGTCGGCGGTACAACTACCGGCCGAGCAAGTGGTGCCTGTCGAGGAGCCGGAACCTGACCCGGAGCCAGAGCTGGTGCAGCGGGAGCGGCAGCGGCAGCAGCAGCTTGAGGATTCTGTGCCATTTTCGGTGTCTTGTATATAAGGATAACAAACAAACAAGTAGGCCTATAGGACTTCGCAAGCAACACGGGACGCGTTTGAGGACTAAGCCTACGCTATAGCAACAGTTCAAGTACGGCGAGCAGTGCAAGAAAAACTGGCAACGAAGAGCTAGCTTACTTAGGGGACAAGACTACGAATAGATCCAACAAAGTAAGCCTAGAAAAGACTAGCACTACAAAAATGTAAATATTAAAATCGTAAATTGGCACGGAACAAAGTTACTCAGCTTGAGTTGAGACGAGAACGGCAACGGCAACGTTCACTGCACGGCGAAATAACGAGGCGTGGTCCGGAATACTGCGACTGACGAACGCAGAGCTAACACCGCTGCCACCAAATGTAATACGCGACCGAGTGACAAGGCAAAACTGGTTCAGTCTCTCCGGCAAAACACAGGTAGTATTCTCAGGGAACAATATTGCACACACGGAACGACAAACGTAGGTGACACAGAATTACTTATAGTATATTGAAAGACTCAATAAGTGAAGGGAAGACGACAGAAACAACGGACGCAAGGACTCTGCAACAACTGAGCTGGGCAACTGACACACGGATCTATGGTACGAGATTGCCAGTTACAGCTCCGAGCGCTAGCTAGCGAATGAAAGCAAGGGATCTGATGGTGTCAGCAATGCATAGTGCAATACATAGTAATACATAGTGATTTGTGTAGGGGGAAGTCCGTCTACTACGCTACATAGTAATACATAGTGATTTGTGTAGGGGGAAGTCCGTCTACTACAGCAAGGTTAGTTCATGCTACTTCTCCTTGCACAATCTACCAAGCTAGGCTGTGTGCAACAAGGCTGATCTACGTCACACATTCCTGTTCATTCATACAAGTACCAGTAGCGGCATCAGTACACGGTCTCAAGGTTGTTGCTATACTGGTGCTGCTAACCTACTCTTTGCTATGTTCATTGCTTCAGATCTTTGCTCGTGACAGCCAATCGTTCCTGTCCTCACCGCAGCTGGTAGTAGTCATTGACGTTCTACCAAGCTATTGTCAGAATGGGGGCCAGTGCTCTCACTCGGCATTCGACAGTAGCTGTCAGAACATCACAACACGCCGCTCCAGTCCACAGCTGTACACATGTAAATGTCCAACAGGCTACTGGGGACAATACTGCGAACGCAACACCAGCACTACCACAGCCGTGCAAGGTGAGATGATTGGCAGAGTACTATCTATATAACAGGTCTTATCCGGGGGCTTACATGGCTGCCGGCACAACTAGACTGCAAACTATGTACAGCCGCTAGAGATGACTTGTGTGTGGCAGGAATCACTCAGTTTGTAAGGTCTCCAGATTGTTGGTTAGCTCACCCGGTTTTCTTCATTGTGCATTCACTCAGGTCACTGGTGGCTAGGACAAAATGCATGCATGACATTGTGTTCAAGCTGTTCACATCCTTTCTGGGGAGAGAAGGTTGCTGCCTGTTGGTATAAGTAGTGTACCAACGGAGCTTTGTGTGTGAACCTCTTTTCTGTGGTCTTGCAGATTGCCCAGCGCATACACCTCGCATGAAGTGCCCAACGGATCCCTGTGCCACAGCTACCTGCCCGTCGCAGCCAGCAGCTGTCTGCCGTGCTAACTATTGCGGTGGCTGCAGGGCTGAGTGGTATGTTGGCCAGGCACAGGTCAAGTGTTCTGGTAAGACCATTCTGCTCTGCTAGTACACTGTGTCTGTGTTGTGTCTTGACAACATGACTTCAATCTGCTCGACTCGGATTAGTTTTGGAATTGCCTCTGCTGCTTCAGTTCATCGTCAGGACTCCCTAGTTAGTGTGAATCCAGTGCATGAACTGATTGCGCATGTCTTACAATATATAGCCTAGGTGCTGGTAGATGTGCAGAGATAGACAATAATAGTCTAGGTGCTGGTAGATGTGCAGAGATAGGTTTGTACCCATGACATTGTGCTAAAATCTGCATGAAAAAACCAGCACTTCAATATTGCTCTCTACACAACGTATGTGTATGGACAAACACCTCCTGTTAACTTGTGCTCCTGTCCTTGATTCTCTGTCTCTGCTGTCACAGCCAATGTATCGGATGTTTGCTCCGTTCCGGAAACACCAGCAGATGACCTGGGTAAGTTGCGAGGCTAGTGTTCTGCATGGCTCGTGACAGGACTAGTATTGCCTGTTTCTTGAAATACACCTGTGCTAGCTGTGCTAGCTGTTACATGCCCACTGCTGCCTTTATTCAATATCCAAAGAGCTTCCTGTTTGTTTTCAGGCCATCATCTGGCCAACAAAATAAAGGAATAACAAGAAATATAACTTAGCTCAAAGTGTGAAAGTCTGCGGTAATTCCGACATAGATGCATGGACCCAAATGCCATTGTTGTTTTCATCGTCATCGGTGTTGTGTCCCATGTTTTTCTGTGCGCTCTGATATGAATGTCTTTGTAGCCTTCTGCCTGCTGCGGGGTCTGAACCAGCCATGCGAGTGTCCATCCGAGCAAGTTGAGTGTCCACCAGACTCCATCTATATAGTGGAGCGTGTTGATCGCTGCTGTGTCAAGTATACGTGTCAGTGTGTCAACGCCAGTGGCTCTTGCCCGTCAGACATAGACTGTGGCACGGGACTGCAGCCACAGCCAGCTGTCAGAGGTCACCAGAAACCTGGATGGTGTTGTCCAGTATACTCCTTTGATGGTGAGAAAACACTCTGATGCTCATTCTGAAATATTGCTCTTGCTGAGAAAAGTTCTTTGAAAACGCAGTGCGGTGAAATCTTACATAGGCGACGACCAATACAGATACATGCATCTAAATGCATCTAAAGGCCATCTGTCTTATTTAGATTGATGTTCTGTGCACCCTGGAATGGTCCCTGAAGGCACAGTGACACTACACACTGAGGATACATGATATGAGAATGTTGTGACTGGGAATCAAGGCTGTAAGCTATGAGTTGCATAAGCTGCTTGCTCACCACTGTGCTCCTCTTCCTCTTTGCCACCCTGTTGTCACCGTACAGACATAGATGAATGTGGGCTGGAGAACGGTGGATGCTCACACACCTGCTCCAACTCGCTCTACACACACTCGTGTAGCTGTCCAGCCGGAATGAACCTACATCCGGATGCCAGAACATGTGGAGGTAAGTTGCTCATAGAGAAGCCAGGGGGAGCACGCTGAACAGCAGTGCCTCTAGTCTCTTGCCGGAGTGCAAGGTACACACATGCATAACCCCAACTCGGTGGGTTGCTAACCGCATTGATCAATGTGATGATACTGTATTTTCACAAATTTTCAGTGTACTTTTATTTTCGGTATTTTCAGTGCATCTGTTTCATACCTAAAATTTCAATACACCGAAAAAAACACTAACACACATAATCCAATAGGGAACTGCTTCTCTGTACCTAAAATTTCTGTTCACCTAACCTGGCCTTTTGCACTCATACCGAAAATATGGAGCACTGAAAATTTCTGAAATTAGAGTAGTTATTTTACGATATCTCACTGGTTTGTGACAGTATCGTGAGAGTGTATGTATGTTCTAGGTACATTAGCAACATCTGACATGTCTGACTGGAACTCTCATGTAAGGTATTGTGTCAGCTAGGTGAAAGTAGCCTAGTTTGGATGGATTTTGAAGTTCTAGTAATTGGCCTTGTGTTGCCTGTACCTTGTTTGTTGTTACAGTGTGCTATGCTGATGGTGTTCCACATCACTTGGGTGATCATGCTTATGTTGGCAAGTCATGGTGGTAAGTATGTACACTAAGAAAGGCCAGGGGGAAAACACTGTCCCTTTGTGTTAGCGATTAGGGTTATGAGAGTGGATGTAAGTTTGCAAGTAAATTGTTATGTTCATATCAGGTAGGATGTTTGCCACGTGTGTTCATTAATCAGTAATATCAAGAGTAGATAAACAAGAGTGTGCAACTCCGCGATGGGTTGGCCCACGGCGGAATTTTTTGTTGACGTAATCTTTTCGACGACGCACGCGCGCGAGTCGTTTCGGAAAGTTTTCCCTCGTGCTCTTGGCCGGCTTTACACTACAAGGTCGGTGCCCAGCACGTGCGCTCACACTGCTCTGCGGCAAAATGCGCGTTCTTCTGAAAAAGGTGACGTCAACAAAAAATTCCGCCGTCGGGGGTATCTGCAGATTATGCAGGAGAGATCCGAAGTTGCACACTCTTGTTTATCTACTCTTGGTAATATGACTGTGATGGTCGGTAAAGTGTGAGTCTAAAACATAGCCCTCTTCAAGGAAGCAGCCATCATGAGCTCAATTCATAAGCTGTAGGCGGGATGGGACTGCTGCCATATCTTTTGTCTGTATACCTTGATAGAGCGGAGTTTGGCGTTTGGATTATGATGGGTGAGCCCTTATCCTACGGAGACTCCCTCGATTTAGGCTAAGGCCTGTGGAGAATCCATGAATGAAACTCCTGGACCCTATTATACACACCCGGTCTTGTGTCATTTGTTCTGGATATTGTTTGCCATGCTTTGCTCTGCATCTTCCTTTCTTGCTCAGCACATGCGAGGATAGGCCATTGAATCGCAATCGCTGGTACTGTGCATCGGACCACACAGATCAAGGTATGTATACGTAGTGCTGCACCGGACACAGGAGCACCGGGTGGAAACACTGCACACTGACGAAGGGTGTTGGTGGGAGTCTCGAGGCATGTGATAAGTGATCGGCAATCTGCATTGTACATGTCATCTCGTGACTGGGTTTCTAATTTCGGTGTGTGCGTGCGTGTGTGTGTGCCGTTGCTCTCACAGTCTGTGAATACAACGGACAGCGCTATGCCATCGGCGTGCAGATCACTGAGCACAGTACTGCCTGGTAAGTCAATATACTATAGACCACATTACCCACTTATGCTGCTGTACAATGGGTAGGTGTGTAGTAACTGATAAAAAGGGATGAATGGGTGCCACTTCCACTCCCTAAAATTGCAGTCAGCATAGCCATGGTGCCGCTTTGCATAGCAATGGGAAAGAGAAGAAATATGTTGATAGCTCTGGATTCCCTGATAAATGCTGGCATGTCTTCGTGATGTGATTGATATCTGTGTTACTTCCTCTTTTGATGCCCCAGCGGCCTATTGAGTGCGGGATTGTGTTGTTGATGATGATGATGTTCTTGTACTGATAGGCTATTCATTTGCTGACTATTCGCCGGCCGTATACCTGATGTATTCACTGGTTTGAGGGAAAGATGCAAACGGGAAAAGTCTGAAGAAAATGTTGACTTGAACCAGGAACCAGGGACCCTCGCTTGTAGCCAGCGATGCTCTAACCACTAAGCTATTACTATTATAATACCTGATGTGCTCGGGATTCTACTGGTATCTCTCCCCTGCACAGGAATTGCACTGAGAAGGATGCCGTCGTGTCATGGCAAACTGCAGTCAACTGAAGTGTGTGACTATTTCAAACGATGCATTTTATCTCCCCTTCTCACCGTAGAAATATTTTACGATTCACTTACTCCGCTTCTGTCAAGGGATAATGCAGTGGACTATTTTTTTGTATTTACACTTAGAATTTTTGTTTGAATTGGCGCTTAGAACCCTTAGAACCCCTTTTCCATATTTGAACCTATTCTACTCACATGTGAGACAATTTGATATCCTTGTTATGTGAACAGCATAAAGTGAAGTCAGACTCGGAGACTATGATTATTATACTATCTGAGTCCGACTACACTTTGTGCTGTTCACACACTCATACTACTCCTGCCTATCATTGCAGCCATCAGCAAGCCAAGAAGGAGAGAAAATTCTAAAAGGGTGTGCGTGTCTTTCTGCAGCTGGAAGAAGTGCAACCAAGAAGAAGCAGTGAAAATTCTAAACGGGCGTGTGTCTTTCTGCAGCTGGAAGAAGTGCAAAATTCTAAAATTTGGATTTTGCTTCTTTCTCCTTCCTCCTTCCTCATGCGGAAACAACAGCCATCAGCAAGCCAAGAGGATGAGCACTTTCTGAACTCTAATTGGCTGAGACCGGTTGACCAATCATTTCAGGTGTGAAGTTCACAGCCAGCATAGGCTATAAAAGTAATCATTCCAGGAGGGGATGGTGGTCGGGGTTTGGGATGGAATGAATTTTGCTTCTTTCTCCGAATTTTCCTTCCTTCCTCATGCAGAAACTGTACAGTCACCTACCTGTGCCTATATATTAGGCATAGTGCATCCATACGAAATTTGACCCCGCTTCCTATTTCACACCTTCGCATACGCACATGCACCTCGCATGCACCAGCGGTAACTGTTGCGTCGGTGCTGTTTGCATGCCTACTCTGTTCCCTGTGTTCTGCACTTCTCCTTCTGTCTTCATCAAGTATAGTTTGTAATTCCTACCTGAGCCAAGCCAAAAGGATAAACACTTGTTGACCAATCAGAACTTCACACCTGAAATGATTGGTCAACCGGCCTCAGCCAATCAGAGTTCAGCAAGTGATTGGCTGAGGCCGGTTTACCAATCATTTCAGGTGGTCAACACAGCCAGCATAGGCTATAAAAGTAATCATTCCAGGAGGGGATGGTGGTCGGGGTTTGGGATGGCCAGAATTTTGCTTTTTATGGTGGTCGGGGTTTGGGATGGCCAGAATTTTGCTTCTTTTTCTTTTTTCTTCTTCCTCCATGACTGAGGAAAGAAGCAAATGGAGGAAGAAGAAAAAAGAAAAAGAAGCAACATGCAGAAATGGGATGGCCAGACTTTTAGAGATTTCTCTCCTTCTTCTTGGCTTGCAAGCTTGCTTCTTTCTCCTTCCTCAGTCATGGAGGAAGAAGAAAAAAGAAAAAACTTCCAGCTGCAGAAACACACACACACACACACCCTCTTAGAATTTTCTAAATTTCTTCTTCGCTTGCTGATGGCTGCACTTCTTCTAGCTGCAGAAAGACACACACCGCAACACATACTCCGGCTGGCTGTTGGTAACCACCCAGGAGAACAGCCAGTGCATGCCAGAGTATGTGTTGTGGTAAAGAAGAGCTAGGGGAACGAGAAAGAGAAGAACAACTTTTCTCTGCTTCTTCTTGGCTTGCTGATGGCTACACTTCTTCCAGCTGCAGAAAGACGCAAACCCTTTTAGAATTTTCCCTGCTTCTTCTTGGTTGCACTTCTTCCTGGCTTGCTGATCCTTCTTCCAGCTGCAGAAAGACACACACCACATGCTTCGGCATGCACTGGCTGTTGCCTTGGTAACCACCCAGGGGAATGGAGGAAGAGCTAGGAGAATGAGAAAGAGAAGAAAGACGTGTGCGACCATAATCGTCGGGAATGTAACCCACAACCTCTCGATTGGAAATTGACTGCTCATTCCACCACCATATGGGGACACATATGCACAGCAACACAACATTTTTTAAATATAACTGGTCAAAGTAAGAGACTACTTTTCATTCCGTAAAGAAAACAGGATTACACACACTCACGCATGCATATATCACTATGACGACAACCCCTTCAGAAAATTATCTAGGTGAAGATCATTGCCCATAAAAGACTCCAATTGGCTGAGGCTGTGCTTGACCACCAGTGGGGTGCTTTTAGAATTTTCTTTGCGTGAACTTTCTCCGCCACCATGCTTCTTCCTGTCTTGCTGATGGCTGCCCTCCTTTCCTTTCACCTGGAAAACACAAACAGACAGGAGGAACAAATACGAACAGCCTACACATAATTACGGTTGTCACTGCAATACCTTGGACCTCGATCAGACAGGGGCATGCCACGGACAGTATGTAAGTGAAAGAGAGCGAGAGAGAAATGGAGAGTGAGAGACAGGGCAGAGCACAAATCACTCCAGCAAATACAGGAATAGCCAGTGTGTATATGTGCATCACAGCCCAGGAAAGACTGTTTGACTGAAGCAGGAATCACCCAGGAAGGAAATTAGTCAATTAGTGCAGAATCATCCATCCTAAACCCCTGCCACCTCCCTTACATGAGAGAGTACTTTTATAGGCTGCTTGGCAGCGGGCTCAGCCAATAAGAGCATTCCATGAAATTCTCACCTTCAAGTCGTCTAAAGTTGACATTTTCACACAAGTTCCTGGCCTCGTAGAATTTACAGTGACCAATCTCATTTCCAAGGATAGCTTGGCAATGGGTAGTGTACAAAAGAAAAGAGCCACATTCCTATAACCGACTTGCCCAGATTAGCAAGTCAAGAAGAATTATTTTAAGGAAGCTAGCGAAGAAATTCTAAAAGTCTGCTGTAGGTGCAAAATCATAGCATGTGACAGATTCAGATTGGTTGAGGCAACAGGTTCAAAGGTTTACTAGCATTTTTTCCAAAATTGTAGTTGATAAGTCCTAATATCAAAATGTCATGAAATGGGCCAGTACTGCAAACAACAAGCCCAGAGGCGGCAACAATTTTGAAATAGGTTTACAATTTTCGACCCCGCCCAAAAAAATCCCCACTGGGCATTTTTCTGTCTTGAACACATACTAGGGTTCCCAACCGTTATTGGTTCAAAGGTCAACATGTCACCTGCGATCAGGACTACATTGCAAGTGAGAAAGTACAGACCTGCATACAGGGAAATTGCAGTATGACAATAATTATCACCTACTTGCATTGTACAACCTACAGTTTTTGAGGGCCCGGCATAATGCATGGCCTTGGGTAGAATATTCCTGCAAGTGCAAGACCTTGGGACTTGGGTGGAATATTCCCGCATGACAAGTTGGGACTTAGGTGGAATATTCCTTCATGACCTTGCGACTTGGGTGGCATATTCCCGCATGATCTTGCGACTTGGGTGGCATATTCCCGCATGACAAGTTGGGACTTGGGTGGAATATTCCCGCATGACCTTGCGACTTGGGTGGAATATTCCCGCATGACCTTGGGACTTGGGTGGAATATTCCCACATGACCTTGGAACTTGGGTAGAATATTCCCGCATGACCTTGGAACTTCGGTGGAATATTCCCGCATGACCTTGGGACTTGGGTGGAATATTCCTGCATGCACCAATAGACATTCCTTGGACTAAAGATTTCATGGTGGTGAACTAGCCTCCCCCGTCACTTTTTCCTGGGCGCTAAGCATACAGTACACGACGAGGCGGTGGAACCACGTATGGGGGAGCTAGATAATTATAAAGCGCGAGTCGGCGGTCTCGCCGTTTAACCTAGGACCTTTTAAAATAATCGTGGTCAAAAGTTCGTTTCCAATTCAGCAAGAGTGTATAAACAAGAGTATGCAACTGTTATCTTTTTTCTATGGGGCAGGTGCGCTGCGCGCTGCCTTCACTGCAGTGCCCAGAATGCAGGATTTTGCACCCTAATTTCAACAAATTCCCGGGGACACCCCTCGCACGCCCTCCGGCTGGACGACCTCCAACGGCGTGCTACGCGCCTGTTCAGACATGCACCTACTTTTGAAGTACTACAGTCGTCGCCAAAAAAATCCGGCCAATGCTATGCTAAGCTACCGGTAGCTGTACGGTGCATGGGCCGCATCCAGCACTAGTCCTCGACTCAACTGCAGCAGGCTACTACAGAGCGTACAGTACCAGCGCAGTCTGCTCAGTGCTGCGCTGGTACTGTACATGCATGCATTCCTCCATGCCACCGCGCCGCCCCTGTGCACCATGAATGCATGGTTCATGAAGAACCGCTGCGGCTGCTGGTGAACGCGTACACCCACCGGCATACCAGTGCTACTGTAGCTGTATCCATGGCATTGGCCGGAGGTTTTGCCCACGACTCTACAATGTAGTATAAAATCGCGATTTCGCGTAGTAGAGCACTAAATAAAGAAATTCAATGTTTTTTTCCGCTTCTGTCTTGTGAGCATCATCAGCAAGGTGCAGTAGCTGCTGATACTGATTTCTCCTCGGGTGTCGAGCTGCACAGTTTCTTTCGGTCTGTCTTGTCCGCTGCTTGTTGTCATATAAGTATCTAATATTGGCTGAGTACGAGGTCAATAATTATAGGAAATAAAAGCCGAGTTGAAAATACCGAGGCGAAGCCAAGGTCTTTTACGAGGTATTTATTTCATACTGACCAAGTACGAAGTCAATATTAGATTTATCACGACAAACAGTCTGTATGTGTTGTGAAACGACAAGTTCTCGAGAGTGAAAGGCCTTCTCGCTTGTGACAGTGTGTTCGTTTCAATGCAGCTGTATCCCGACTCCGCCGTACTGCTGATGTTTACGACGTAGTATACGCTACATGCGCTATGTGCGGTTTGCTGTGTGCGCTGTAGTTGTATGTTGTATGTGTATGCTTTTCTCATATACGCTGTCATTTTCACGCTATAACTACCTGGTGGTTTTAGTGTTAGTTATTCAGTTCATTCAGTTGTTCATTCAGTCATTTATTGTTCATTGTTATTAGTCGATGGAAGTGAAATATACTGTTGAGAATAAATAGTTGTCCGCGTGCCGTGTGGGGTCGTTCGTTCCTGATACTTAAGAGAACCAGAGGGTTCACAACATTTGGCGACCACGCCAGGATACGAAGCGAGCATGGCACAGGAACTATGGATCTTTGAAGCCAGCTTTATCGCCAACGGAATTCGGTATGGATTTGAAGGCGATAGGTTGAGAGAATACGTGGAGAAGAGGCTCCGACAGAGCGAGGAGTTTGAAGAGCGCAGTGCTAGACGGCAAGAGTGTGCGCTCCGCGCAGAGTTTAACGAAAAGCTCAAGAAGATGGCCGAGCGCATCGCCGTCAGTATATATTATGAGGAAGCAAAGCAAGATTTGCTTGCCTCGCCCGGAAGGACGCCGGACAAGGCGTGTAAGACTTTGCTTACAGACAAGCAGCGGT